GAGAGAGAGAAGGAGAGAATGAGAGAGGGAGAGTAAGAGAGCCGGCTCGCCGGGAGTTCTCACGCTATACGCTGCATTCTGCCCACCTCTTGTAATTCTTTCTTTACCCTCCTACTCGTATCTCGGTATATACCCTCCCCGACAACGGCACGAACCTTTCGGGGGCGAAGCTCTCATTATGCGTGTCCAATCCACTCCATGCTCGCGAACGGCACGAAGGCTTCGGAGATCGCGAGCGTATTCCCCCGCCGCGGGGATCCTAGTGTGTGCCGGTATGTACGCACATTCCGCACCACGCGGTTCAACCCTTCCGAAACGCCCGCTTGTATACGCTTGCCGAATGTTCTTACGGAGAAAAAAAGAGGACGAACGGTTTAAAGTCAGAGTGTACAACACTGTGGAGCGACACGTACACATGTGTTATCTCCTCACTGCTGCCTACCTTCTCACCTGGTGTACACATACCGCGTACGGAAGAACGCATCCACGCTGTATCGCGGAAACATCTCGAAATCCCGTTGGCTGTTATTGATCTTCGTAGATTTGGAGATCGGTCCACAAAAAATCGACCTATCATTCTATCACGGAAAGAAGGACCAGCGAATTTTTCGACCCGAGTTCCCCCGTTACTCGCTCATCGCTCTCTCCGGAGCTTACCAGCTCTGCGTCCCGTTTTCGAGACGGTCGTCGCCTGCTTCTGATTCCACCCAATCCAAAATTCGCGAGCATCATCATCCCCCGGTCGAGTGCCGCGCGAGAAGAAGAATCCGACGACTCATCCAGCCGCCCTCCTCGCACATTTCCGTCCCTCGATCGCGCGGCTCGCGCTATTTCGCAGCCGCGATCACTCCTCCCCGTCCGAGAAGTTGCGATCCACGGCCGGCAGGGATTTAAATTCTCGCCGAAGGATAAAAAATTATGAAAATCCGCGGCCGGGGCGGAAGAGATGTACGTATACACCTGCCGCCCGGGTCCGCAGGAGTTTTCCGCGACGCAGCTCGGAGAGAGAGAGAGAGAGAGAGAGCGGCGGCGGCGGTGGCGGACAGATTAAGCTTAGGAGGGAGATTTATGGGCGAGCGTGTAACGAGCAACTTTTTCATGGGATGCGCACGCCGGGGTTAGCCTCCGGGGGTGGGATTAGCATAAGATCCAGCAGCTGCAGACCGCGCGCGAGGCGAGGACTCCGTCCGCTTCTACGGGTCGCTCTCCTCCGGCTTTTATTCCGCGCAAAAAGGAAGAGACCACCGCCTCCGCTGCTCCGCCGTCGTCTCTCCCGCCGCCTCCGAGCCGCTCTCTCGATGCGCGCCGTCCGGGATGACGTTCTTCTTCGTGATGCCCGAGAGATGGATGCATCGTAACCACTTCATCGCGCGTCCCGCAATTTCGTATTAAGACGCTCAGCACTAAATCCGCGGGCCCCCGCCGCCTCCCAGCCGCCGCGCGCAATTACAGTACGTACGATGCGCGCGTGCACGCCGAATCGTTCGTCCACTACGCGCTTATTAGCGACCCGTTCGTGAGCGACGTTTCCCCTTTCCAATTCGCGCGGAGATCCGCCGAGAGAATACGTTTAATTACATACGTACGTAGAACATATTTGCTTACTCGATCGCGCCCGCCTCACGACACACACATTCCTCGGGACTTTTCGCTCGCTCGCGACGCCCGCGATGCGGGTACCCCAAGGGTCAAGGGTGAGCCTTACAAATTACAGACTAGGGCCCCCGCGCTCCCCGAACGTCGCGGATATCAATCGCCCCTCTTTACCGTTGACGAGGAGTCACCCGTTTCGCCGGGGCTCACGCAACGCCAACGGCCACAGGCGTGTGCACTTATCTGTGTGTACGTGCCGATCGAGATTATTAGATACATCAAGATAGAGAGATAAAGAGAGAGGGAGAGGGTTTATTATAATTCTGGAATATAAAAACTCGTTGAGAAGGTAGTCGATACAATATCGGCAAGCGTTTATGGACGAGGAAACAATTATTAATAAAGAAACGAATAGGAGATATTAATTAAAGAAAGACAGAGAGAGAGAGAGAGAGAGGGTGAAAGAAAGGGGGAGAGAGAAAGAGAGAGAGCACTTCTCGCATGCGTTTCGGCCTCGGCATAATTGCCCGTAAAGACTCGGCGTAATACGTCGATTACGCGACCGCATGCCGCGGCATCTACGCCACGGCTACTGACACCGCGCATCAATCGTACCCCTGAATATTCAATTAAGTACCCCGCCTCGCCCCACCTCGGCCTGCCTGTCTTCCAGGATTTTTCTCGCCGCCTGCCCTGCGCAGCGTCCCCTTCCTCCTTCTCTCGCTCTTCCGCAATTATTCTCCGAGCGCCGCGTCGACCCGCGAGACTCGATCATCGCGGCTGGGCCGCAATTCGCCGCTCGATCGCCATTAAATCGACGTCCCGCCGCGGGAATAATCGCTGTCATTCCCGAAGGTCGCGCCGAATGATACCGCGCTATTCGCACAACAATTTCCCGCCTCCGTTTCCGCTGCCTTTTTCTTACGGATATTTCACTCCACCTCGCGGGAGTGAACGCGCATCCGAGTTATAACGATGGAGGGTTTTTATTAGCGGGAAATGCGCCGGGAGTAGTAAGTCATTACTCATATTCTTCGTGCATCACTAATATTACGTAGCGTAGACACTCGTTGTGCATTTTCATTCAATAGCCCATTCTCTCTTAAAGCATTAATCCCCGAGCGGATCGAAGGAGAGCATTGTTCCGCGGCGTGTTAACGGCGCTACCCAGGGTGACAGCGAGGTGCGCGCACCTTCTCGCGGCGACTGTCGCTGGAGATCTGAATCGACAGAGAGACCGCCACGGCCGTGCGGGTCGCTCGGGACCTCCTAAGGTCAGATATTAATGAGAGGATATAGAGGCGGCCACCACCTCACACCACTCCGGATCTCGGCAGCAGACTCACGGATCGTCTCTGATGGAGAGAGGTTACCGAGAGGCCTCCTCCTCCACCTCTTCCACCTCCTCCCACCTCCACCCCGTGAGATGAGAGCCGAAGAGAAGCACCGGCATGTAGGAGGTCGAGGTAGGGAGGACCAGGGAGGGTCTCCACCCTACGACCAGATCGTGGAGGGAGGACGTCGTCGGGTTACGAGAAGACGAGAGGAAGACGGTGGTGGAAGTGAGAGAGGAGGATAAGCGAGGGGGCTAAGAGGAAGGGAGGCGGCGGTGAGGAGGGGGAGCAGCGGGGGACGTGGAATGAGAGATAGAGGGAAGGTAAAGAGAGGAGAGAGCGAGGAAAGAGAGACGGGAAGAGGGTGGGGAGGGGGGGAGGTGGAGGACGAGGACGAGGACGACCAGGAGGAAACGGAGGTCGGGTGGCACGGCGGGGAGAGAGAGGGGACGAAAAAGGAGCGAGCGAGGGAGCGAGAGAGACAGAGTGAGAAAGAGGACGAGAAGAGCGGGCGGGGGGAGGGAGAGAGAAAGAGGACGAGAGAGATCTGGACCCCACGTAGGAGACGTTCAATACTGTAGCAACGACGCCGAGGCAGCGCCATTGGCTACCATTTTCTCTCTATACCTTCTAGGCATACACCTTGTACTCTATTCCGGTCTACTCCACTTTATTCCCGCTTCGCCTCCTCCCGTACCCTCTCTGCTTCTGCTTCCCGCTGCACCTCCGCCACCCTCCGCGCCTCTTGCCGCCACGTCGTCCGCGAGATCGCATACCAGGACCGGGTCGGCGAACAAAAAAGGCGCCCTTTTCACCTTCCCTCTCCTCTCGAATTCGCGAGACTCGCAGGAGGTGGGGACCGGGCCTTTCGCGACTATTAGCTCGACGGACGCAATCGGTGACTCCGCCGTGATAACGAAAGATACAACTCGCTGTTGCTCCGAATGAAGCGGTTTCATCTGCTCGCTATTTCCTAAGCGCGCTACATCGAGCCACGAGATGCACCTCTGTACATCTAGAAACCCCGAATTCGCGCTGCTACCTCTGTATACTTCATGGTTCCAGCACCCGTGGGGTATGCTTTCTCTCTCTCTCTCGTTCTCTTTCGACCTTGCCGGATATTTTTTCCACTTTGTCAAATAATTAACGGACATTACTCACGCGCCGGCGAACAACGTGCGCAGCGCGCTTTTCGCGAGGTAGCGCACTCGAACTCCGCGCGCCGCTACCTCGCGGGACTGGAAATAGTTGTAATTTTAATTAACCCGATGATTACGCCGCGTGCACTCTCGCTGGGCCGCTCGTGTACACGGTGGACGGTAATTTACTGCGTGTAACGGTAAATACGCGAAACAATGCTCTCGCGGTGCTTTTTTCAAGACGTCCTCCAATCGTCGGAAATTTATTATTCGCGCACGCGAGAAACTCGTGTCTTCCTTTGAGCTTGATTTAATATTCGCCATTTCGCTCCGCGGGTTGTATTATATTTCGATTTTAGGGAGGTAAATGTCGCTTAGACATTAATAATCGTTGGTTAAAACTTATCTCACTTAGGTGAGATACTTAGATTTAAGCCCAGAGTTAAGTGCGAACTTTTCAGTCGATTCAATAACGATTACAGACATGATGTCGAGTATTCCGACTCTTTATGTTGACATTTTTAATTAATAGAACTTGTAGAACATTTGCATCTATTAAAGTTCACGTTCGAAGTGACGTCAGAATAATGTTAAAGAATAAGACGTTTGCCATAATGTTTGAGCATAGCTGTTATCTTGGAATTGCACGGATTACTTTTTTTTCCGAGTGCTTAACATTGGACTTACGAACATGCGTAGATCATTTGTAGTGAATTAATGGCACTCTAAAAGTCGTCCAATCGCTCAAAATGCTTATGTTTTTCTATATAAATAAATAACTCCTTCATGTATAGCAGCTTTTAATATGTACCAATCCGATGTCAATCACACGCACGCACACAAGTATAATATACAAAATATAACAAAATCTTCATATATATATATATATATATATATGTAATCAATTACTATGCATAAAATCACATGCATATCGTATGAAATATATCAAAATGTGTCGAGCAAAATCGAAAAAATATGCAATTTAAAATCCCGTTGCCGTTTATCCGACCATCGGGTACCGAAATCGGTTTTATTCGCGTAGGATAATCGGGACCCCGCCATATAGTTTACCGACTATATAAGGCGACTATATACGCTTATACGCGGCGGCGTCGTCTCCCGATAACGACACGTTCCTTCCGGCAAATCGCAACGACGTCGCTTCTCGGGTCCCCCGGAGTACCGCCACGAAGTAATCATCGCAAATTAGCGTAATTCACGTATAAAACTCTCTCTCTCTCTCTTCTTCTCTCTCTTTCTTTCTCTCACAGCGGTCGTCCGTGCGCGCTCGTCCGTGGCCCTGCTCGCAGCCCGGAGTTTTCTACGGCCGTCTTAACGGCTCGGATCTCGTAACGTGACTCGATAATTGCCGCAATCTCGGGGAGCGCCCTTTCGTTATTCCGGCCATATGCCGCGGCCCGGTGGTACACCCTGGAGGTACGGCCCCGAACTACCGACTGTAAAACTTCCTCTCCGGACGAATGGCGTTACCTTTTTTTCTCTCGGTTCTTTTCCCCCGCGCGCGAATGTGATCGCGAGATGCAAGACGCGCTCCGAAACGCGATCCTTCTGCGGGCGACGTGAAGGGTTGGCGTTTGTTGATCGAAGCCCTGCGCACTTCGGTTTCCCTCGAAGTTGCCTCGGTGAGAAAAAGGACACTCCGGTGAGACGGTGAACGGTGAAAGACCACTTACGGTAAACGCGACTACAGATTATGCGAAATTGCGCGGTATTTACGACGGCACTTGTGCCTCCTCTTGCGAAACGCGATCCCGAGCGCGAGAAGCACGGGCGAATCTGTCTTTCGCGTCGCGACGGCGCAGGCAGAGAAAGAAGGATACCTTTTCACCGATATAAAATATATTTCATAAACACTTAGTGCAACAAGGATCTTATAAAAAAAGAAATCTTACAAAGAGCTGATACATATCGAAAGTTAACGTGTCTACTATTAACGCAGCGTTCGCAGTAGTCGTTGCGCGCTGAAGAACATCATTCTGTAGCGAATCCTGCTCCCAGTCGAGTTCAAAATGCGTTTTTGTGCGCGCTATCCTTTTCTTTCTTCGATGATTCTCCCCTATATTTTGTAAATTATAACTCATTCATATTTCTCTTCCTCTCTCTTACATAGAAGAGAGAACCTTCGATCATTTCGTCGGACAGAATTTGCTTCAACCTGATTGCTACACACGTTTTATCGATTGTCAAAGCGCTGAATTATAAAGAAGGAGGTCTACTCTTCCTGCGTCGCATCTTTCCAATAATTTTTACAAATAAGAAATACAGCGGGCCCGCTGTACGGCGGCAGTTTCCGATCAGGAAGTTTCCAGCATTTCGGGAGCGAGTGAGAAATCGACCACGAAAGGTCCACAACAGTTCTAAGGCACAGAAATCGTGATGAGACACTCGCTAGTCGGATACTCGAACTTCCGATCGTCCTAACCAGTTTCGCATTAGCTCCCCGCTGACCAGATTGGGCGAAGTTTCGTCCGGCAACTTGCTCTTTTTCGCGCTTCGGCCCGATGGCTGTTGCGACGACGACGTTTTGCACTCGCCGGCCACGCCGTTATTCTCCGCAGAGGCCGATGACGAAGGTATTATCGATACGTGACTGACCCAGATTTGTCGTGCCGACACGAACTCCCGGAGTTTCGTGGGTGCTGAGGAGAGATTTCGATGTCAATACATGTTATCGAACATACATGTGTGTGTGTGTGTGTGTACGTACATTTCGTGTGTGAAAAGAAAAAGAAATTATCTAACAGAAAAGGACAGATAATTAGGAGAGATGATTAAAGCAAAAAAATTATATAATTACATACAAGAGATAATATCTCTGCTTACGTTGAAATGGTACCTTTCTTCGCGATGCAAGTATACTCACCACCATCCGGGAGTGCACCGCTGGGTCCTTGCCAAACGCATCCGATTATCTTCGGCTGAAGTTTGTGCGTCTTCGCCTTTCTTTCGGCTTCAAATTGCTCGCCCAATAGTTTCAGCTTCATCTTCTGTGTTTGCGGCGACTGCAACAGGCGGGAATGCTTGCTTCACGTTGATCCGCATATTGAAGTAAAGGCTTTTGTACGTGTGAGAAAGAGAGAGAGAGAGAAGGAGAGCAACTTCCTCAACTTCCATCATTATAATATACTTACCATATCTTCCATTTCCTCTTCGTCAGCCCGCGCTTCTTCGTCGGACAAATACCTAAGTTGCAAAATGCTTTTCTTAGAACAATACGTGCACAGATGCTCGAAGAATGTAAACGCAAACTCAACTACGTCGGGTAGTTTTTATTTATGTATGTTACTTCAAGATCGCGCGAACGTTATATGCGATATAAACTAATAAAATAAAACAAAACTTGCTTATATGGAAAAATTCTATATAGTTCCACTAAAAATGTCATAATCTTGTTATTCAAGAATAATTTTCATGAATCGAAAAAATACTGGATAGAAAGAACGGTATCTTCGAGCTCATACAATCCTTACTTGGAAGAGAACTATGAAAATTATTCTCGAATAACAAGAATATGAGATTTTTAACGAAACTATACAGAATTTCTCCATGTAAATAAGTTTTGTCTTCACATAAGATTATATATTCTTGTTTGTACATGGGAATATGAGTCTTGAATTGATACTAATCTTTTTTCTTTCCATGCAGACGGAATCTCGAGAATATTTGAGCAAAAAAACCCGAGTATTCGGTCCTCATCGACAGTCTCGGTGTATTCAAACGATATTTCCGCGCGAAGCTTACCCGTGCGGCACCATGAACTCGTTGTCGACGTCGTATTCGTTATCCTCCGGGTTCTCCTCGTCCTTCTCATCGTCGGACCCTTTGAGAGACTCGCCCGGCTCTTCCTCCTCCCACTCGTCGTCCGAATCGATTTCGTAGTCGAACCATTTCTGAAACGCACACATACACGTACAGTTCCTTCCTGCGTCCACCGGTGTGGGTCCGAGCCAACGTAACTATCGGATTCTTTTCGACAAAGCGATCCTTCGATCGAGAGTGCTTCCTCGAGGAAGCTCCTCAATCGCGATCTCGTTCTATCGTCGACGTTTGTTCACGCGTTATCTGTCTTCGGCCGGTTTATTCTAGTCTCGGACACCGGCAGGATATCGTGATGTTCGTAGTGAATAAGCAGGACGTTGGTATCAAACGACTTCCTTGCCGAGCGATATCGCGGCTTTCGGTGACGATTGCCGGTGCTCCCGCGCGCATTCCGGTGTTTCGCTGTTAGTCGTTCGCTAAACATCCCATCAAGATGTAGATACACTGCGGCAACCGGACTTGCGTCGCGTGGCCTCGGTGAACAAGTGTCGATCGGAGTCTACCGCGTATCTGAGGAATCCTCGCTGAATTCCCGCAGGCGCTTCGTACGGCAATAATGCGCGAGGTCGGTCCTCGTTCGCGATTTCGGCTGTCGGAAAGTGCGATGCGTCATCGTCGAGAAGCACGAAGCTCCGGAGTGCGCCGTGTCCTCGCGCTCTTAACGGAAATACGTGATATCACGCGTGTCACGTTATTCGCGTTTGCAACTTGGTAGCTTGTTAAAGTAGCTATTTTCATCCTCGAGTAGCTCGTCGGAGTGTAGCTATTTTTGCGGTTTACTCTTTTGTTTCCTTCCTACCGCACACGTGTGCTTCGCGTTATATTTCGGATCGGAATAAATAACGTCGCTCTCTTCGCGCGATAACACGGCATATAATAGTGCGCGTGTCATCAAACGCGCGCGCGATAATTATAATCGGAATCAATTTCGTGACTCGGTGCGCGGGAATAAAATCGTGTCGCGGAAGTGCGCGCTCCGCTCGCCGAAAAGTCGATAAATTTCTCCGTCTCGCTCCCTCCCTCCCGCCCTTGCCTCTCTCCGTCTTTCTTTCTCTCGTCCTCTGTCCGTCTTTTCTCTTTGCGCCGCGCGGCGCGAGATATCCTTTGTTCGATAAATCAACGTCGATTTCATCCCTACGTGAGCATCAATTACAAGACTCTTCTCGAGAGACATTAATTTATTATCGGGGAGAAACGTAATCTCACGGGCGATTGATACACTCGTCGCTGCTCCGGCGGAGTAACCGCAAAAACAATCGCCGGCTCTCTTTTCGCTAATAAACCAAAAAAGGGAGGAGCGTGCGCGTTCAAGCAGCTTTTGGCAGCAATACGAAGGTACGTACGCGCAACGTCTCGTGAGCCGCGCAATTTATTATCGGGGGTTTACGGGGGGTGTCCCGGGATCAATCGCGCGTTCCCTCTCGGACTCCTCGCGCGGAGTCCTCCTTTTATTTATCGTTTCGTCATTTATTCATTCCCGATCTTTACTCATTTTCGAATAAATCGGTCAATCATTCGCGCAACCGTACTTCGTTTCACTCACTGAAACTCTCGTTCACGGGACTGTCCAAGAGCAAAATCAGGCTCGACTTCGGGGCGAAAGCCGAGCCGCTACTTGGGAGAAACTGCAGAGACGGCGAGAATAATGACCTCTGCGCAATTATCTTCGAGAGAGATCTCTCTCTCTCTCTCTCTCTCACACCACGAGCGGGACGAGACTTCCAAAAGAGGTCTTATCTATATTCCGGCGAGCGCGTTACGACCGGCTACTAACCGTTCCTATCGCTTCTTCGCGCGTTCACGCGACACCGGGATGTCAAAAGAATCCTAAACAGACCTACTCTCTTCTGCAGTACCCGAAAGCACCCTTAGCGCGCACGCACGCACCTACGCACGCACGCACTCACACACGCGGCCGAAAGGATGTAACGCCCAAGAAGGAGAGCGCGGTTATCTCGGCCTGCGGCGGCCGCGAGAGATGCACTAACGCTCGCCGATGCACGCCGAAACGCCGTACATTATTTACAGCGTGTTGTCGCCCGGCGGGCCATCTGTAATGGCTGTTTTATGCCCCATTAAGATTGCGACCGGTGCTCCTCGTCGTAGCACACCGTAGATTAGGAGGCCGGCAATCGGACTGATTTATTTCACGCATATTCGGCTAGACCTGCACTTCGTTACGGCCGTTATATAGCGTGACGACGTGCGCGACCGGCGCATGGAAATCGGTGCCCGCCCTCCCGCTCCTCCTCGTCGAACTGTCATCGCCGTAAAACGTGATTAGCCCTGTAATAACCGTTCTGTGGCCTCCGATATGAAGGCGCGCGCGCCCACTCGAAAGCCAGCCGCTCGCTCGTCCAATCGCACGTTTTCGGCCCGTAAACCAATTTAATTATCTCCTTTTCTTAATCACACTCGATACTTTTATCGTCGAGATTATTGGCGTGTTATAATATCAATATATAATATTATCGGAGGTTACGAGGTGCAACACACACGGAGAAACACTTCTTTTTGGATTTAGCGCGCGTGTTTGTTTCACTTGGGCTTATTTAATACAACACAATTTAATATCGAATGTCTATTTTGTTAGAATGAAAATGTCGCTGTTTCACTAAAGTAAGCCACGTTGTTTGACGGAAAAAAAAAACCAGTATTATTTAAAGGAGATATTTCGTTTTCCATGGAAACATTTATTTTATTATATATTAAATATTGTTTCGCTGAAGCAGAAAAGTTCTTTAATATTTTTCTAAAATAGTGTTACTTCTTTCAAATAATTTAACGTTCGCGACAATCATTGTAATGTTTGGATGAAAATGCAAGAGAAATGTATTATTTGACGATATTCGTTTGAGAAACAATCTCCTGTTCGTTGAGTCAAACACTCGTTTATTTGCTCTCTCATATTGAGAGATGTTGATGTATCAATAATTAAATCGATTACGCGAAGAAGAGGAAATGGGGTGACAAGGAAACGAGATAGACACTCGCTATTCCGCTCACGGCGCGTTCCACGCAGTTCATAACAATGCAGATTCTAAAATGCGTCACGAGATAAACGCGCACGTTATCTCGGAGCATAAATTTCGCGCGAAACGGACTATCGGTAAAAATGACGATGCCGCACAACTGCGACTGATACTCTAATTAAAATATACACATTAAGCGACACCGACATTTTTCCAGCGTATGCGCATCGTTTCGAATAACGCGCGCAGCCGATAGCTTCCCGCGAAAGCGGAACATAATTACACGACGGATCGAATGCGACCGTCTCTCTTTCTTTCCACATTTCGAGTTTCCCGGGTGAAACGTCTCGGGAAGGGAACGACTTCGTGAAGAGAAAGGGAGATACAATTTTTCACAAGAATTCGAATCTCGCAAATTCGATATTCAGGGAATATCGGAGGGGATACGCGGCGTGTATGTCTCATTAATCCGTATTCCATAATCACTCCCGGTATAATACCGGAATAGAATGTTACTCGTTAATGCCCGGACAAGACCACGAGGTTGCGATGGCACGGTAACCGGAATGAAAATTGATACCTGCGTTGCGCGGCGGCGCATCGAAAGGGTTAAAACGGCCGCGCGCGTGAGAGTTACGCGCGAAAGCACGGTGTATTCGCGGAATATTACGTGGCGTATGTACGAACGTCAGTGAGATATCACTTCTGAATAAAACACGAAATCCACCCGATATCCGCGCGTGCCAACGTATCAAACATCGACGTGTAACTGCATATACATTTTATATGTATGTATCTATATATCTGTTTTTTTTCTCTCTCTCTCTCTCTCTCTTCCTCTTCCTCTCTTTCTCTCTCTTTCTATCTCTTTTATCGTTCTATATAGTGTAACATTATAGAATTTCTGGTAGCCACGCATGTAGTTTCGAAATTAACACACGCGAGGCTTGGTCGGTGCCCTCCGAGAGAGTTTATACAATCTCCGGGACGAAACGCCGGAAACGAGGAATATCCTTGCGTGCGAATTCATGGAAAAAAAAAAAAACAGGTTGGATGCTCGCCGGGCAAACTTGATTTTAGAACAAACGAAAAGTTTCAAGTTCAAGGTCTGAGATGCAATATATTAACGTCTGTCGCGAGGTATGACAGCTGTCATATATTTGTACATCAGGCCGCTCTGAAGAAAAAAGCCATTTTGCAAACAACACGCAAAATGTCGAGTTATTAATTAAAGAAGCCTCTGTACTTGATTCATCTCTGAAACTTAATCGCTGTATGGAGAACTACCTGTGTGTTATTTTGATTGAAGATTTGCTAAGCTAGTTGAGTTTCTCTCCGGTTGTGACGATGAATCTTTCTTTTTCTTTTCTTTCCTGTGAAAACGTTAAATCCCCGCAACCGAGTTCCGTTCGATATTTCCGACGAGTTTCCTTCCATCATTTTCCACCGTCTCGCCACCGAAGCGGCGATTTCGCGATCGCAGCTCGAATGGCCGGCAATCAAGAACGGAGAAGCGTCATACCCGATCTGTCGAATTAATCTCACCTATATTACACGTTGTTTTCGCCACGGACGACTACTAGTCGCACACAGTTCAAGCTCTCGCGAATCTTCAATTGAGTGCGAGGCAATGCGCACAACGTTGTAAGGTCTAAGGTCAGGCCCGCAATGATAAACGAGCGATCGAACTCCTAATGACGGTTACTCGGGTGAGACACCTTTATCGGGCCGCCGATTCGCGCCTCAGGTCAAAGCCGTCGTCAAGCCGCGTTGCATACGAAAATCGTCGATGCGAAGTCGAATGCGCGAGAACGAGCGTTCTTCTTCTCGGCTTTCTCGTTTTCCTCTCGGTAACCTTCGTGTGTAGAAATCCGCGAATACTTCATCTGTTCGCCGTTTCGGGTCAACGGTTCTTGTTCGATAGAACCGTAAGCGATTTTCGGACTCGCGCGGTCTCGCTCGTAACGATATTACCGAGTAATCAATGACGTCTGAGTTGTATGATTTTCGGAGAAAAAAAAAATATATATACAGTAATTAAAAAAGAATTCATATACATGAAGCATATAAAGTAGTTTAGAAGAAAAACAGGATAGTAAAAAAGTTACGGCGCAAAACGCGTGAAAGAGAGGTCAATATTTATAGAGGAAATAAAATAGCTGAATATGGATGTTCACAGAATATAAAATTGGCTCAAGTTGAGAAGACAACACGGAAAATTAACGCCGTTAGAGTAACTCAATTTTCGTTGTCTGACGGCCAAACGAAAATCAGTTGGCCGGTTCGTTTATATACAGTAAAAAACATTTTATATTTGCGTTAAAATCGATCTTTGTCAAAATTCTGATGTAAAATTTTTAACCTGTGTATCGATTTAATATTGATTTAATATATCGTGTTTATGTTATCTCAACATTTTGTGTTATGCCGATATTCAACACGCGTGTGTTAAAATAACATATTTTATACTTCGGTGTCGATTTTAACGTTTCAATTTTGTGTTAATTTGTGACACATTCATGTTAAACTTTCCAACATATTCACCTAGTATTAAATTAACATGAAATTTTTAGCAGACCGTTTGGGACATGTGAGGTGTGTTAAATTTAACACGAAACTTTTACTGTGTGAATATTCACGCGAATGGTCGCGGTAACGGAGATATCATTTCTCGTCACCGAGTTTTCCCGTCTCGCTGAGTTTCCATCTGATCCCCGTTCAGTCGCAGAAACTGAAATTCTTTTCCGTGAAGAAAGGGTATGACACCGATTAGCTTCTCGCGTGAAAAATCCGCGACGGCTCGCGCATCATTTTCTCGAGAAACGCACACGCGAATTTTCGCGAATATAACTTATCGCCTAACCGGGCGCGATTGTTCGTCCGATTTATGAAAAGTTTCCTCGACGCGCTCCCGCAGTCTCGCAACGTCACAAAATCACGAGATAATCCTTCACCGTGCTCGTACGTACGCGCGATCGGAGTGGATCCAGCAGTCCGCTCCTCAGATTACATCACGAATTGGAATTGCCATAGATACATATATATATATATATGTTGTTGTTGTGTATATATATATATATATATATATATGTAAATATATATATATAGTATACGTTTATCTGGCGCCCGAGCCACGTGCAGTACAACGCGACGGCATCCCCGAGACATCCCCGAAGACGAGAAGAGGGTGCTCGCTCTTTCTCTATCCCGAATCCGCGACGTGATTTGCCCGGCGAAATCGGCGCGGCGGCGATAGTCGATGTGAAAGCATCGCGATTATCGCCACTGTCCGGGGAATCGTAAATAAGCCGGCTAATTGTCCGATCGGTAGGGATGGGATCAAGTTCAACGCGTACTGACGCGAACCCGAGTATCGAGACCAGTATCTAGATTCAATACCACATAGCCGTAACAAGTGCAGTAAACAAAATACGATAAAATCGATTAAAAAAAAAAAAAAAGAAAAGAGAGAAAGAGAAGAAAACCACGATTAGAAGAGAAGCGCCAGAAGATTGTAGCCTGCAAGAGTACAATTTTTAAAAAAGGGGGAGAGGGGAGGTAAAAATACTTGTGCCCTCTCGTTTATACGCTGAGACTGCACTCTAAAAAATGGCTTTTCTTCTCTTCCCTGTCTTTACTTGACGATCTATCTTTTCCCGTTATAAGAGTTGTGAAAAATTCGCAACACCCGCTGACAGCCTCCCAGCTAAGCTTGCGAAACACTCGATCCCATCTCTAGCGATTAATATCGGCGGACTAAGAGAAGAGAAACGTTGACGACGACGGTGGTGGTGGTGGTGGTGACGGTGGTGCTGGCTGGCGCGCGCTCTCGGTGTTCTGGATCGGGCGCGCGATCGGCCGGTCCCTCGGGATCGGCGCGGTGACGGCACCGGTTGGCACAGGCTAACATCCTTATCTCGAGGGAGCCGTGCGCCACGCACTCTCTCGTCACACGCTCTCCAGCCGACGTCTTCTCGGCCGGAGGACGACCACCAGTTGCAGTCTCGATCGAGTCGCGGTCTCGGCGACACCACGACGACCCCCGACCCGCCGACGTGCGTGCACGTCCGTCCGTTCGTTCGTCCGTCGGTCAGCCGGCCGGCGGTTTACTTCGTTTTCGCCGACGAACGCGTGTCTTCCGCGCGCGGAGCGGACGCATCGGTATAACCCGCGTTCAAGGTCGTCTCGATAATCGCGACGGGGAGCGGTCGAAATATGAATCTTCCTCCTTCGAGCTCGAAGTCGCTTTTTAACGGAATCCACCGTTCGACCGTCGTCGTCGTCGTCGTCCTCGACGTTGTTGCCGGTCCGATCTGAGATACCTCGCGGCGATCGATCCGCGATCTCACGGATGCGACGTTCCTCATCGCCAGGGAGATCGCGGCTATGATACGATACGATCGAGCGAGCTTGTCTCATCACCCGCATACACAATCGCCCGAGTCCGCTTAGATCGATGCGCAGCGATCGAGACGAGCAGATCCTCGTGTGATCCTCGTGTGATTCTCGTGATCGGGAACCTGACTTAGAGAAGCCTTGGTGTGACCATGCACATTGGACATCGGACGCAGCCGTTCTTGGGAAAATTGTAGTCCGCCGCGCGTCCGGCGATTCGCGACGCGAAAAGTGCAGATCTCGCGCGATCTCGAGGTTGATCTCAATCCTAGTCTCCTTGGCTAATCTCTCGGCGTCATGATCGAGGAAGCCACCACGTTCGATGTGAGTATAGAGTAGCGCAACGAGACGCGTATGCGAGGTCACAATCAGTCGCCGTACGAAATTCGCATAGTGCGTGAAACTAATTAAATAACGTCTTTGTCTCGTTAAAGTATGCCCGGACACGTTTTAATACGATTTCGTTTTATGCGTATCATCGTGTAATCGTCTATTTAATAAATAAAGGGCGTTGAATCTTGGGAAACGATGAAAGTGGAAATTCGAAATTAAGGTAGTTGTGTCACGAAATTAGTTTTTTCTTTTAATTTGCGCTATATATAGATTCAAATATGACCTAATTATTGACGCAATTATAAGTAGATTAAAAATAGCATTGATAAGAATAAATGCAAACTAATATTTTCGTATTTATAATATTGTGTATATAAATCTACCCCAATTTCGTTTCAAATTAACATTCACTATTTAAACAATGAGATAAATGTCCGAGAACGTGATTTTGTTTGATACATATGAGATTCATCAATAGCCTTCCTTCATGTGCCAATGAAAATACGGTATTCTGCGCCATGACTACCTCGAAAGATTTGAATTGAAACAAAAGAGAATTTGAGGTAAAAGAACGAGAATTTGAGGTAAAGGTCTTGGCGAACTTCGTAGATGATGGACGAACTGCTGTTCTCCACTCTGGGCCTAACGATGGACACCGGTGTCGAGAGACAGCTACTCTCTCCGACCAAGATGAATCTGCCGTACGATTACGAGATGTCGTGCGGGACTCCGCTCAGTGACGACTTCGGGATAATCGACAGCCGGTCGAGCGTCGCGATAAATCCGATGGATTGCTACACCGACTTGACTTACTCGACGAAATCGTCGTGGAACGACTGGTCATCTACCAATACGCCCACATCGTCAGGTACGCATTTCCACGTATACGCGTATGTGCGTAACAATTAAAAAAAATTAAGATATTTTTCCCGGGAGATGTTTAGCGTCCATTAAGTCAGAAAGTATGGTCAGCGGCAAGAAGGTCGCAACACTTTTCAATTCGACGAGTTTCAGAATGAATGAGGATTCGTTGGGTCATTCTGACAATCTTTGCCTGCTTCCAAATATAAGAAAAGCGCGCCCGGCTAGAATGTTTCTACCTCCGGGTAGAAATGATTCTTGTACGTATAAGGTTAAAAAAGAACCAACTATTAATTAATTGGTCGGTGAAGTTGATCATCGATGCTATAGAAGTCGAATTCGAAGTGTCGCGCTCCGGCTAATCGCAGGTGTCGCTTCTCGCGACCGATCGCGCAGGTTGTCTGAGCGAATTGAGCGAGCTGGACTCGGAGCTGGACTGGTGTCTGGAGAAGAGCTGGAACTCCGGCCTGCCGGAAAGGACGCCGCTGTGCACCGCGGGGTGCGAGGGGTTCCTGCATCTGCCGCTACCGAATCCGCAGCAGACGCCGCCGCAGTACGAGGAGCCGTTGCTGGTGCTCGGGATCGACTTGTGTGCACTGGACGACACGCTGGGGAACGCAAACGCGATAGGTGCGCGAAACGTGCGCGAACTATCGCCGCGAGCTCGCGGATATCGCGGTCAGTCCAACGCGGCGACCCGCCACGTTCCCCGAGATAAAGTCAATTAACGCGCGTTACGCTAATGGGTGTTTCTCTCATTTAGTGACACAAGTCGACACAGAATCGTCATTTTGTTCCATATTCAATGAGTAACAAAGATAGGAATGATAGGCTCGCGTCGATTTGTGTCGGTAAATGGAAAGCGCCGAGTAACGAGATACCCGGAACGTCCGCGCTTTTCCCGATGATCACGCGTTGAACTCGCCGCTAATACACGCACGTCACGATCGCAGATTACAACAACAACCAGTTGGACGACAGCCTCCTAATCTCGTCAGCAGCTAACGCCGCTTTGGCGACGCACGACTACACCAATCGCAGCTTGGCGACCGCGGCCGAGGACCGATGCTTCCCGTGTACTTACCAAGGGTGTGTGAAGGTAACGCGACCCGCTCAACACACGTAACATTCCAGTGGTTTCGCGTGACAACATCGAAGCGATTATTTCCCGGTGGAAAATACTTCCTTCCTCCTCGAGAAGTCGTCTTCTCAGAAAGATATTTCAAATTTTCAAGAAACGATCCCGCCAATGAGTTTTGTGATTTCTCCTCACGGAATTCATCCCTCTCGTCGCGTCGACTCGACTGCGCTTAACGAATTCCGGAATCTGTGGATTTCAGGTCTACGCCAAGGCGTCCCACTTGAAAGCTCACTTGCGCCGACACACCGGCGAGAAGCCGTTCGCGTGCACTTGGTCCGGCTGCGGATGGCGTTTCAGCCGATCGGACGAGCTGGCCAGGCACCGACGGTCGCACTCGGGCGTCAAGCCGTACCAGTGCGAGATGTGCTCGAAGAAATTCGCGCGTAGCGACCACCTGGCGAAGCATCGCAAGGTGCACCGGAAGAACGCATACCCGTTGTTCCACGGGGCGAGAGGACTGCGCGCCGGCAAGGTGAACGTCCTACCAACGGAGACATAGGGCGAACGTGGATCGAAATCGATCGCCACCGGCGATGCGGCCGGGGCGAACGTGTCGACGACATACCTTCTATATAGAGTATAAGGATTGACGAATAAAGTACTTAAAGTACGTAAAAGCTAGCCGACGTAGGGATAACTCAGAACGAGTGACGCGAACCGGTTGTTCTCAACGCTCGCGGCGACTGCAGCCGTTGGAAGAGCGCAAGTCCGCTCTTTTGCCGCCACTCGTGAGAAAGTTCATTTGTGTTTGAATAAGATATAAGCGAGAGGAGAAAAGAGCTCGTCTCTGTCTATCGCTAAATGCTTGAAACACTCGCTGCGTCCTGTGTTTCAAAAAGTGTATCTCGCACCAAACATTAAGAACCACCGTGTGCAAATTGTTCGATAAAACGATACTGCGTCCAGTTGCTACGGCGATCGAAGGATTTACCAAGTAGATTTCTAAGATAAACGTGGGTATATCGCGCCACGATTCTTCTTCGATTGTGGAGAAGTCTGATCGGCGCGACCAACTAAAGATTATACTCGATCCAAAGAGAGATTACCTTCAACCTAGTATTAGTGCGATCAGTCCTTCTTAGCGGCAGTTAAAAAAAGCTACTTCGATAAGGAATTTTTACCAGCGTTACATAGAGTAACAATAAAAACTTATGAGCGAAAGATCACCTCCGTGTTTCTCATTCCTTTCTTGAGTATTTGCGAAGCTCAACTCTTCGATCTCCTTTCGATGTCGTTAACGTCGAACGCGATAATTCTTACCTTGTCTTTCGTGAATGGCCGCCGGGGGTTTATCGTGACGCTCCGTTTCCTCCACGTGCCCCAATACGGAGGACGACGGTTGTCGCTGAATTGCAGTAACTTCGGCCGGTGTTTCTCCAAGTGATGTGTCTCCCTGATTATATTGGAGTTGCCGTCGTTGTCTTCGTCTGTGGGACAATCGTTTATACATTAGCAATGTTGAAGTCTAAATATTCAGGTATACGAATAATCTATGTCTTCAGCTAATGTAGCCAAAGTTTTTCGGATATTTCTCGGGTATCCGAATACCGGAGTAATCAAGCATTGTGATTAATATATACGGTATTTTGAAAAAGAAAAAGGCAAAAATTATTACTTGGTTTACACTGAGAGTAATATCCGTTAATTTGAGTCAACGATTCGTCAAACATGTAATTTGAGTAACGCATGAACATCGTTCTTACCTAATATGATAATATCGTCGTCCTTCGTTTCGAGTGGCCACGTTCTGGACGAAACTCGTGGTACGATTCTGCGCTTTCTGACATCCTCGAGATACAGTTCGGGTCTCTTCGCATCTTTCGCGTTACATTTTTCGTCGAATAGTGATTTTTCGCGTACGCTCAATATTCTTCGACACACCGGCGCGACTCTCATGTCCACTTTCACCTCGAAGGGCATAAAATTTTTCGCCTCCACGTCGTTCTCCTCCTCCGCAGTTTTAGCTTCTTGTTTCTTGGAAACGAAGAAACTGGCGAAATTCGACGCCGCCTTCTGCTTCTTACGCTCGGCCTCCAACTTTTCCTCCTCTTTCTTCCTCTTCTCCTCTTCCTTAGCCTCCTCTCGCTTTCTCCGTTCTTCCTCTTTCGCTTCTTTCTCTTTCTGCTTTTGCCTGTAGAAACCAATGACGCTTAGTGAAAGTACAACAAAAAGCGACAACGAGGTTAATGTTATTAAGTATTCATACTCGATTTCCATCTGTTTCTTAAGCTCCTTCAGTTCCTTCTCCTTCTTTTTTTGTTCCTTCTCCAGCCTCTCCTTCTCTTCCCTCTCTTTCTGTTTTTCTTCTCTCTCCCTTTGCCGATTCGCTTTCTCCTCCAGCCGTTTTTTCTCCTTCTCCTAAAAAACGAATGAATGACAATATTCAAGCATAAAGTATTAAATTCACAAACAAAAAAAGTTTAAGCTTTACTTTATAACATACCATTTTTAATCTTGCTCTTTCCTCCCTTTTCTTGGCTATTTCCCGTTTCTTTTCTAATTGTTTGGGTGTTAATTTTTTTACTTTCATCTTCGTGTCTTTGTCACTCTTTGGAGTAGTAGGGATTGCAGATTGCCTAATCTTTTCTTCATTTATACTTGTCCTCGACTTGTCCAACTCACTTTGAGTCTCGGTATCTGAAGATAACACAGCAATATCAGAATCTGATTCCGGGCAGATATTAGGACCTTCCTTGACAATAGCATTTTCTGTTTCTTCACTAGCTTCAGATGTATGCAGCGATGAAGATTTGAGAGGCTGCAAGCTTGAACAGATTTCACTTTCTTCCTCATGCGCAGATTCCTCATTTTCACAATCTCGATTATTTTTTAATCTGTACGAACTACTATCACGAATGATATTGCCTATAGGCTCATTGTTTGCCTTCTTGAGGAACTTTTTCAAAGAACCAAATTTTTTGGAGGTTTCTGCTCGTATTTTACTTTTGGTTAAAGAATTCTTTTTAGGTGCGGTATCAATTTTCTTTCTCTTCCCATTTTTCAGTACATTGCTTTGTTCTAAGTTTTTTTCTTCTTCATCTGATATTAATTCAATACATTCGCTATCGGTATCAGATTTTTCTTCTGTCTCTTCTTTTTCTTCAGAAATGCTTTTAGTAGAGTTCTCCTTTGCGTACTTTATCATTTTGCTACTTTTAAGTTCTTCTAAAGGCGATTCTACTTTCCTCTTTTTGTTAAGCACGTTGTTTGTACTATTCGGCGATTTTGAGGCACTTAATGTTTGAAATGGTAGCCGTGCTGAAATAACAGATAATCAATTAAATTCACATATACCTCATATATATACATATATATATATATACTTCTAAAATAAACTTAAAAATAAAAAATACCTTGTTTCAGTTTTTTCTTTTTTAAATGTGAAACTACTTCTACCGTACAGTCATCATCTTCCATGGAAATATCCATTGCTTTTATTTTATTGATTAAATTTGCTAAAAGAGAACACATTGTTCAGTTGAGTATTTTTTCTTCTTTTTAACAAAGATATTGGAACACAAGGACAACCACACATATTTTAACGAAATAACAATTAAATCATCGTAAATTTACCTGGTAATTCTTAAAACACGACCCGTGCTCGAAGGCGTTTTTCAATAATTATTGTGTACTGCGGCACGACACCGAGATCTGTCAATCTGTATCGTCGTCCTAACCTAGATAAAAATTTGTACGAATGAGGAAGATCCAAATGATTATGTGAGTCAACACTACTTCATATATATATATAATAGTAATAACACCCGGTAAAATATCTAGAAAAAATAAGCAAATTTCACGAGAAAACTAACGCTACACCATTCAAAAAGCACATTTCAAGTACACCACCTACATCACATCGCGATCACGACAAAATCCGCGGGAAAATGGACGCTGGAAGGGGTAAACTTTACGTGATAGGCCAGTAATGTTAAAAATCGAGACGTAGCGATGAGCACTGTTGAAGAAAATCGCCGCTTGAATAATTTCGTTTATATTAAATTATATTATATTATTTATATTATATTATATACTATTTGAAAATGAAGATTCGTTCATACAATCCATGATTTGGACATGCTATCTAAAAATAAAAACGACTCACCAATTAGTACAATTTTAAAATAATGCAGGATTCACACCGCCTCCAATGGTGGATCTGATATCCAATAGGATATCACTTTTTAGGATTTCTAGTTAACATATGCTTATTTCCAAAAAGACGTATCCTCTTATTGGATATCGAAGTCGGACATCGAAGACAGTGTGAATTCTCCATTAGAAGAAGATTCGTACTCGCCGTTAAGTCGTACTTCTTCAAAACAAGCGGATATCGTTTAATATGCCACTGAATGATGCTACGCAGAAAAACATAATTCTCTGACCTGCAATTAATTTAAAAATGAAAGAAAACGTAAACGAAGATGACGATAACTCAATAAATTAAATAGGAACTTGAACTTTGGTTACATTTTAGATAACCCGCCACCTTTGTCATCAGTTCCAAATTCCTCGTTATGAGTCGCCACTATATCGATCGAAGAAACGAAACAATAATACGCATCAACGACGAATACGTACTTTCTCCCAATTTTTCTTACTTTCTTTCGCAAGTATATATAGTTATTTCATCCTAAGTACAGAAAGTGCAACAGAGTGCAACGGACGTGAAGAAATCTTACATGTTCGTGGAACGGAAAAATAAGACGAAACGTCAAAATCTTTTGGGGTGTGCTCGTGCTGAGATTTATATAACACTTTTGTCATGTTAAAAACATATCGATAAAGAGTTAAGGGGATGTCCTGCAACACTTGTCAAACCAAATTTTCGTTCTTCAAAAAAAACGCAAGTGTCATTGTTTCGTTCGATTTTACAGCTACTAGGTTAGCTTGCCGAAATAATATTGCTGAAAAATGAAAGAAATCGTCGCTTTATTTATTTTTTTATTTTTTCTGTTGCGTAGATCGGCTGTCCAAGCTGTGGCTTTTCTTATTGCAGTAAGTGCCTCAAGTATAAATGTGATGTTTCCAATCTAGGAGTGAAAAAGGTTTGTGGACGTTGTTACAGTAAATTAAACAACATGAAGAAATCAAGTCCCGAAGCCACCACGAGTGATATCTCACTACCTAACACGGATAAACCTCTCGCGCCAATTGACATCACTATGAAGTAAAGAAAATTAACTCGTTGTTTAATTGTCATATAAAAGATGTTTTAAAATATTTCGGTGTATCTTAATTTTCTTCTTTATTAGATTGGATTCATTAGAGAATCCAGTTAGGCCTCCAGTAGTGATATATAAGCATACAAATCGCTGGGACCAATTTAAGAAGGGACTAGAACCAGCTGATCAAGAAATCGTCGATAGATTGCAGAAACTGAAAAATAAGGAGCAAAACATTCCATCGCCTAGCGTCGACGAAATAAGAAGAAGATTGGCGCTATTGAAAGATCAAGATCCAGAGGCCAATGGGAATAGTAATGTCATAAATGTATGTAAACTGTACGTCGTACATTCACCAGAAAATATTTATCAGTTATTAATTCCAGATACATCAAGTAGACACCAGAACTGACCAGGAGAAGACGGATGACTTGATTCAAGAGTATCTGGCGCAACTGGAGTTATCCTCGACCAGTGACTCTTGCAAGGAGATCCAAGAGAAATTGAATTCTTTGCGGGATGAGGATGATAAAACAGTGAGTAGATAAAAGTGCAAACTCGAAGTACAAAGCTATGGTCATCGATTGTATATTTTGTAGGGTGCTAATCAAAGCGAGAGGGAGGAGATCGATGATGACGAGGAAACTGTAACGAAGAAGTTAATCAACAAAGCTTTGGCTGAAGCGATGTTAGAAGCGAAGTATGAGAAAGAGGAGTTGGAAGACGTAGAGCCGATGGATTCCGAGGTAGATACCAGCACGATGAATAAGTCTGTATCTTCGTTGTTCTACGTTCAATGAGAATAATAAACGCAGATCCAGCACGGGAGCGAAGACGGGGACGAGAAGCCTACATGTGTGATGTGCGAGCAGACTAAGGATCTCGTGCAGTGCATGGGTTGTGCTGGCGATCTGTACTGTCCCGTCTGCTTCGAGGATAACCACGATGAGTTCGAAATGGAGAAGCACAAGGCGACTCGCTATCGGCCGACGGAGATAAGCCTCGACGATTAAGACGCTGATCAACAGCAGTAAATGCGTAGTACAACGCGTGCAACACTAAATTTCTCAAAGCTCTCACCCTTCACGTAATTTCGAGCCGTGTCTATTCAAAAAGAGATGTCGAGGACGATTTTGCGCGAGGATTTTAGAGACATTTTTATAAGAATTACGCAACGAAGAATTGATCGAACTTTCTGTCCACGAAGTACAGCTCGGAAATTAGTATGAGAGATAGTTCGTCTCAGTCGACACTTTTCTACTCTGACTTGTGATAGCGGCATCTCGTGGCTGTGACGTGGGGAGTGAGAGCGGCACTGATCGAAGCGAATTATTTTTCTTGCTAATTTCGTTTTATTCACTGCTACGATGCAATACGAATGCTTGATGTACGTGTGTGCGCTAAGAGGCATTGGAAATATCCCACCTAGAAGGACCAATCCGATTGGGTCCCAAAATTACAAGACACATCTGACCATCATGATGCCATCTAGGCCATCCTGTATAAATCCATGGTTGTCTCACCAATGAACTCAGGATCACTCGAGCCTTCCGTCTCTGTTTACAAAGTTTCAGCCCAATCCGATGCGTCCTTTTGGATGAGGCATTTTCAATGTCCCTATATTATTGTCCAAATTCTTAATCGAGCTTCTCCACGCTTTCAGTCATGGAACTGAGGATACCGGCGAAGTTTGTTCAGAGAGAAACTGGAAGCTTTTGCGTATAATATACATCTAAACTTGATTTCGAAAATACGAGATCTCATAGATTTCTCACAATCGCATCTTCTATTTATCCTTCAATCTTTGGCGCCTCGATTTGCCCGCTGCTGTTTTGTCGTCGGTGCGAACGTTGTTTCGCAGATATATACAGTAATACAGTATCCAGCAATAAGTGACACCGATCGCGCAATATATGGAAGTAAACGCTAACGGCAGGAATGGCAGCCTGTCGCCGAACAGCAACTTGTGCAACATCGTTTCGTAAATCGTGACCAGCGGCAGCGGAATCACGTACAGCCACTCGTGTAATCGTAACAGAGACTTGCCATGATGACTCGTCAGAGTTACAATCGACATTAGCGCATACGTCAGCGACAATATTATTTTTAACGGAGATAGATTATCGGGGTATAACAGTGGGAAAAGAGCGGTGTGACCGGTGCTACTTAGAATTATGAATGTCCGTGCATCTTCCTCGTCCGTCGCCGCCAGAACGCTGGAAAATCATTACGATTGTTTAGGAATCTCTTTAATCGCGCGATTGTGAATTTTGTAGAAATTCGTAATCATCGTCTTATCGACTTAACGATTATTTCATTCGATCCGCACTGGGGACTAACGATGGTGAAAATGTGGCTTTGGCGGATTCAGTTTCAAAATCGAGACTCGACAGGTTTATATTATTCTGAATTTTAAGCACGGCCGCACGTTTCGCAATACAATACAAAAATTGAAATTGAGCATTTAATACTTACCACAAAGGAACGATCGCGGTCAATATGGCTTTTTCATGCACATGCCAGCCGAACATGAACGATCCTAAAGCGCATAGGACAATGCACCTAACAAAGTATTTCCAGTTCATATAGTGCTTCTTATGGAATAGGTACCATAGAGCAGGCTGTAATAATTATATATGATAATTATTTAATACAGTTTATATAAGAAATGTAATTACATAAAATATATTGAGAAATATAAAACATCTAACGTGAAAAAAGAAAAAAAAAGATCTGACCCCGTTACATCATTAGTATCTTTTAGATCTAAGCAACCGCATAATAAACTCACAAGTGTTGCCAAAAAAGTCAAGAGGAATGTGACAATGGGCGTGGGAGTGGGTAATATAAGAAAGGCCTGTTCCTGCACTAATCCGCCCGTCATCACTGCGGTTTTAGCGTCTCCTAACCAGCCCAAACGTTTCCATATCACAGATAACACTTTTTCTACGCCGATGTACAGCGCCCAACCATTTGCAGCCCAATAGGAATGTACCAAGCCTCTTTTAAACGGAAACAAACGGGAAAGCACCTGATGAAGGAAGAACGTCGAGTTACGATGCAATGTAAAACTTGGTTAAGAAAATATGCGGTACCTGTGGCAATTGAGTTCTGAACGGACCGAAAGATACCACTAAGACGGCCAGAACGATAAGTCCGAGTGTGAATATACGTTTAAAGAATTTCCCACCGTTCAGGCAGTACGACTTTAGAAGCCAGACGATGTATGCCGGTGCTACGTACACATACAGGTGTTTTAGATTGAGTAAAACGGCGAACCATGCTGCTCCTTGCAATACCGACGTCTAGAGAGTAAACTACTGTTTACATCTGTAAGTAAATACCGAGAGTGTGCTGTGGAATATACCTGCTCGCCGACCATCGACACGTTCGACATTGATATCAACAGAATGCCGAGTAGGAAGCCATTGTATTGGAAGTGTATATGATCCACTATCAGTAGCCCTATGTTGCACAGTGATAAAAGTACGAAGACTACACTGCTGTTCACAGATTGACAAAACGTTCTGCCTGCTCTGAAAGGAAAATATTGCGATGATATAATTATTGTACCTAAATATCTTAGAATTCAATTAGCCAATAATCTCTGTCATCCCTCTGAAACTATATTTCTTGTATTAACGAATTCCTACAAAAAAGCAAATATTTATTCTTCACCAGTTCGCCCAGAGCCAAGAAGAAGTGTATTCGCGGGGATTATTTTATTCTGTGAATATCCGCCTTGTTCTAAAGTATAATTCAACCATGAATATACATACTCTCTTACTCCATATGCGAATATCATATCAGCAAGTATAACAGTGCCTCTTTGGAAGTACACAGTATTTGGCGATGCGTAATTCAAGTTCTCCACCTTGACCATCTCGGGATCGAGGAACACTGCTATCTGACTGAGGCAGTATTCAAACCATGCGAACAGAGGAGGATAATCCAAAGTCCATGGAGAATGTGTATTCACGTACCATTCCTTAACAGGCAGACTATGCGTGATAGCGAGCCAATTACGGTGTACTTCAAAATCAGTGGAGTGGCTGCAGATTCAAGTAAAGCAACAATAATCATTAATACAACGAATAATCACGACGTGAACATCTCGGCGAAGAAATTGCAGAGGATCACTTACTAAGTGGGAATCAGGAGCATCTTGACGCAAGTAACCAGTAGAAACGTTCGCAGCCAAATACCGTCCACCTTGCTGAGAACCGTGTCATCTTGCTTTGCCGGCGTTTCGACCACCTCTTTCAGAACGTGTTTCCTTCTCGTGGACATGTTGCTTGACTTTATTTACAATCTATCATTTTTCTATCAGCTGTTTGAGATCAATCTTCGACGAGCAGGAAGATATCACCGATTCGATACCATCGTACGGTGTCCTCGAGAGTGTAGAATACGTATGCACATACATAATAGGTTATACGTGCAACTGTATAGGTTATGTCCAGTGAACGAGTGAAGAACGGAGCTATCGATACATGGCTGCTCTCAAACTGTTAACGGCTCTGAGAAGGGCCACGCGCTTCACTCAGAATTTCGATCAACGTCGCGTGGCATGTGAACTCGATGCGTACCAACGTCGAGGATTCAGCACGCGCAAGACGATCAATTTAAACGATGTTGACGCCGAGACCAAGCCGAAACAGAAACCGAAGACGGTGCCGGTGCCAAAGATCACGTTATTATTACCGGATAACTCGATGACAGTGACCGACATGGAGCACGCCCTTCGTATGGCGACGCGCCGGAAATTCAACCTCGTCAAGGTCAGTTAATGCTCTTCTTTCAATATGAATATTTGGTTCTGTACATAATATGATATAACCTATATACGAATATATTCCATGTAATGTCAAATATACTCTTGTGAAGTTGTTAATTTCTTCTTAATGAGATAAAGAAGTTTCTATTATTAGAATATATTCACTGTCAGCTGATAAAACAGTACTTGACCCAATGGTACTTCATGGAATGATAACAGGTTAGTGATTCTGATAACAAAACGCACCGGGCTACCTACAAGCTTATGAGCAACTCGATTGAGGACATAGAAATTCCTCAGAATAGCATCAATGTTCAACAGAAGTCTAAGACCTGTAAGCTGCTCTACATAAATGCAAACATCGCCAAGCATGATCTGCTAACAAAAATGAAGAATATTGTGAAACTGTTGAACAAGGGTAACAAAGTTAAGATTTGCATTACTCTGAATGACATCAAGGAGGTAAGTTTCTTTTTTATATAGTAAGATAAAAGTACCAACGCCTGGACACATACCTAACTGAATATATATATTCTATGTTGAAAGTTGAATATTCGTATTTAAACAACAAGAATATCTAGAGTTAGATATATATCCAAGCATTGGTATTTTTATTTTATAGGAATTGAATATAATCATTGATCGTGAGATTGATCGTCTAAAACTAAAGGAAGTTGTCAAGAGTCACAGGATATTCTAATAATATCAATTATATATATATTTTCTTTTACAATGTTTAGGATGATATACTGGGCATCATAACGGAAGAGATAAAAAATATTGGTAGTATTCAAAAATCGCCATCTAAAAAGAACACGGCCTTACTCTTAATAACTCCTTTAGATAAGAAGGATGCGAATAATCCAACAGACAATAAAGAAGCTGCGTCTGCTGCGTCTAGTAGTACAATTAGCCAAAATGATAACGCATAAGATTTCTGGTCGATCTCTTAGCGAATTATATAAATACAGATTATACATATATAATAACGATAAAATTCACATCTCTTTCTCATGTCCCATACCTGGAAAGAACGAATTTGATATGCATTTGCGGCAAATAAGAACAACGTACAGTATACTTAATTATAGCGATTATCTTTATTATGAATAATATATTATAATATATTATAATGCCTTTACAAAAGAATGACGTTTAAATCGTTTCTTTCTTTGTACCATACATCTACACGATTTCGTTTATTGTCAATGAAGAGTGAAGAAAATTGTGTGTCAAGGAAACTTCTCGTTATGTGCTAAACGAACGGCTTACTATCTATTGATATGTCTACGTCGCGTTTTACAGTCGTGGCTTTTTAAAGTAACGTGTGTGGTTTCTCAGTTTCCAAACTGAAGCTATTACAAACTTTGGTCTTACGTTGAGATCTGTAATGTATGATAAATGCTACGAATATGATACGCGCACATGCAAGCAAACGTTATCGTTATGCGAGTGGTCCTGCTCGCGTCTCACCCCGCGCTGGAAAGGAGCGGCTTCATTTCTCACTTAACGTAACGTTACCACGTCGCGAATTATTTCGCTTTTTATCTTTTTTTTCTTTTTCCCCTTGACGGTTTGAATCGACATCATCAGATGCGATCAAATGACATCGAGAACGCGCGAGACGCGATAATTTGCCTTCATCTTTCGTGAAAAAGAAAGGAAAAAAAACTAGACGAGTGTCGTTATTGCGAGTGATATTGATGGCAAGTGGTTGGTCTTCTCGTTTTCTACGCACGACCGGCGCGTTGGAATGCAATGGAAATCGATTTTGTCTTAAATTAACACCATGTCGCGTGAATAACGTCGTGTGTTGTTTTTTAACTGTGAGTTATGTGAAGCAATTGTATATTGTATACGTCGTCGTGTTAAATCTGTATCAACGGGTATCGACACGACGAATCGATAAATAACGCGACAGCGTTATTATTATTCATGGCACGACTTTCCTGTGCGTAATAAATCACACTGGAGGACATGTAGGATGGCTATAATTACGCGATAGATAGGACTAATTCTGAAAAAACCCTCGCTCTCTCTTCGCTGTGATCTCTTGGGAGAAAACAAATTATACGACGATAATAAACTCTACTTTGGCGTTGTACCCGAAATAATTAGGGTCATAACGCGTCTTATATAAGATAGCCGGACGTTACATCAGAGCCAACACTTGGCCGATCTATGACTGTCAATCGTTAGCCAAAAGTCTGTCATCCAGTCGTAGGCCATTATCAGCAAATAATTGCCTTAAACAATCGTAACGGTTTACAACGTCCTTCATCTGTTTCTCCAACAATTCTGACCTTCAATTGATCCACGAATAGTCAACATCCAATGTATTACAATTAAATCCTGCTTCCTTCTTGCTGGCTCCCAATAATTTATCCCGCGTCCATTCTACGGTTATTTCTCTCAATTCCGTTACTCTAGAAGCACAACCTGTATTCCTTCGTATTTTAGGATTCCATATCGATTTACCTTGGTGATTTGACCAGCACGTAAACATCAAGTGTCGGGCAGCGTTCACACGTCTCTCTATTCGCTTTGTCGCATCCTTTCTATCTCTCAAAAACTATTATAGTATCTCAACTTTGTGTCTACCAGTAAATTTATTATTATTATTATTATTATCAAATAATATATCGAAAATTTTGCACCTGATAATGGCCCGACGACACAAAGTCGATCATAAGATCCTACATGGAATTTTAAGTACTGAAACGTTAAGTATCTTCACAGGTTTCATCAAATCGTCGTCGTCCAGTGTTATCTTTGTTTCACGATAGCTTCGCAACGAATACCATCGCGCCTTCCATACATCGCGGGATTAGATTCAAGGAAGACATAGAAAGAGAGAAAGAGAATCAAGAGAGGGTCGCTAATCAGTCTAACGAGAGTCGTCATAGAAATTCCAATGTTCGAGCGGACGCGCCGTGCACAGATCGCAAGTTTTTGTCGCGACGATCTTGTCGCCGGCAATTCGTCAACAAGCGAACGTCGCGCCGGTAACGAAGTCACCGCGCACTTCGTTACTTCGGACATTCCAGCACGGGACACTTCCTGAATTCCACCAGAGGTGGGCAAAGTCGGGGCCAGAGTCCATGCGGTTGCACCTTCACGCTGCGGACACGGTTCTTCATCGCGTCGCCGCAGGTCGCGCTGCATCCCGACCACGACGACCAGTGTGTCACCTTGCAGTTTACTGAAACTTCACACGGATATTAAGGCGATGTAGAGGAATATAATAAACTTGAAGACGCGCATTCGAGTGAAAATCCACCAACGCGCAAAATCCCGATCGGTCGTTTCTTTAATTCCTTTTTTCCCGTTATTTTCGTTTTATTAAGATTATTCCCGTCATCTTCGATCAAGTTAACAGGGGACAGATAGCTATCGATCCGGCGATTCTGCAAGTCGACCTTAAGTCCACTTGCGATCGTCATTATTTCGTAAAGCGACGTGAAACTTACGGTGTTTATTGGTATTGTGTTTCGTTCCATGTTTGCCTTCGTATTTCGAATTGTCTTCGGAAGATCGTCGACTTTTCCCGTCGCCCTGCTCGCTAGCTGCAAAGTGTTTTTACTCTTAATATTTTACTTGTCTGTCGATTAATTTATTTATTCAATGCGAGAAACAAATCCCACTTATAACCGTGAATAATCAATCCTTAATAACCGTAAGAATTAGGTGCTCTTGTTGATTGACATTCTTAGATGCGCCCTTTATATTTACAAGCGAGTCCAATTTTCATAACCGTAATCCGAGTAATGAATTCGTCTTACGATCATTATTTTGTAACAAACTAGAGGAAAGAGGAAGGAAGCGCGGGTACTCACTGCACGATGAAATCTTACTGCACTTCTTCCTTCGTTGCGTCTTCTTCGGACAGCTCTTACCTCCGCCTTTCGCCGGGACCTGCTCGAGAGATAATTGCATTATCGCTTCTTCCAACCGATTAATCGTAATTAATTCGACGTGATGCGCAGGAATTTCGTCGATCGAGCGGCGAATTACAGCGGAAACAGTCGTTCATTCGTCGCCCGTTGTTCGAGGCGATAACTTCGTTGTTGTCATACTTAATCTCCGTGCGCGAGAGAGATGAACGAAATTATAACGTACTATGATCTCCCTAGTGCTGCTGGTGTACCCGTAACAACCGTCGCAGCTGGTCCATCTACTCCACTCGGTAACCTGACAATCCACTTTAACGTTCTCGCTCGGTTCCATTATCAGGCTGCTGGCTTGAATGTTCCTGAAGTCTGCCTTCTCTGTAAAGAGACGCGACTTAATATTCAGCGAATTGGAGTGATCCGCTGATTAGCGCACACCTATACACCGCGCTTCGTCTACTGACGGTCTTGAAACTTTTAAGCGTTTTCGCGAAGCCGTCGTGAAACAGCATATAATCCGTAACAACTTTCGCATAAAACAGATTCATCACCGTATTGCGCTCTCTTCGTCTTCGTGCGCTGCTGCTCCTTCACGGGAATGTGGTAGCTGAGGACGCTGCTAAGGGACACCTTAAAGTTTTTCATGATCGCCGACAAGTTCGCCCGCAATTCCCCTGAGTCGGTTAGTAAGCGTGTGCAAAGTAAGACAACGAACGGTTGTGATTATTATTAGTGAGGGGAAACATCTTACCTGCGATGCGAAAGCCACCGGCGATGCGGAATCGTGTTTCGTCGGCGAACGAGCGTTGGAATTGGGGGTTGGGGGCGGGGAGGGCGGGAGTTAAGAGAATAACGTGAGCGCAACAGGATGTCGATTGTTCCGGTTAGACTCGATCGAAAAATGCCGAGCTTGGTCTCGCTCTCTCAATCATCAATATAAATGGAAGTAAAATAAATCAATAAAATAAATAAAAATAGGAATTTACAATTACTTCTGAACTTATTTTTTGTTTCATTTACTCTCGAAATCTTTTTCTAATTATATTTCTAATTATTTCTTCAAATTATTTAATGGTGCTCTTTCAAGAACGACTTTTTCCTTGATCCATTTATGCGAATTTCTCGTCATTCACAGCACGAATTAACTCGAATGAACGGTTCTATTCTCTAAATTTCTCAGAGCGAAATCTCACTCGAAGCGATCGTGAAAATACTCGGAATTACAAGAGTGAATGTTTAATTGAAACTAAAGAGTTGATTTTCAATCCATTCGAGTGAACGTTTCAGTCAATTAGAGGGAATCCATTCAAATGACGGAAGAGTACGTCAGATTCGCATTCTATATGAGTGACAAATAACTTCGGGTGGAATTTCACTCGGGGAAATTTCAAAGTAACCGATAACGAGATTGAGCGTAAGGCATGTAGTTGCATGCGATAAATCTTGGAATTGCTGTAGTTGTAGTTTTCGCGACGAGGGGATAGATGGATGATAGAAAGAGAGGGAGGGAGAGCCGGTGGGGAGTTCCGTGCGCACAAGTCCGGTAATTAATAACATTAATTACGCGGTGAGGTGCCGTTGTGAAACGTATGAATATCGCACACACGGCGCCGAATATATCGCGTCAACTTACTTTGATAATCACCGCAGACGCTATTGCAGTCCTGCTCGGTCGGGAAGTTATTCCGATTGCCGCCGCATCCGGTATAGACGAAGAAACGGCAGCGGCCTTCTTTTTTTTCGAAGTAGGATCGCAATATGTTAGAATTGCAATTGCCCTTTTCCATAGGTTCACTGCAGATCTCTATAATCAGTGCGAAACCGCCGTATAATAACGAAGATAATGCAATGGTGAGGCGTGCGTGGTCGGAGCACGGTGGGAAATTTCGTTGGGAATAATCCCGCTGACGAAGAAATCCGATCGCGGAGCTACTCTACGGAGAGAGAAGCGAAACGGCCGTCGATCGTACGAAGATTTAAAGAGAAGGAAAAAAATTATCCTTTCATCAGAGAACGAGATGGGTGGGATGTTGTTTCACATTTTTACCGTAATTCGAATACGCCCACGGGAAAAAAGAAACGACTGCCCCGATGGAATTGGTCGATAGCGCTACGGTGGGGGCGAATTCTCTTGACTCGATAACGGTATTATTGAAACTGGTAAACATTTACGCACTGTTTCAATAATCCGAGTATTAGTTTCAATAATATTGATATTGAATCAAGAGGATTTACTCCAATTATGGAACTGCTGATCAATTCTATCGACACAACAGCATTCTTGTTTTCCGTGCACACATATCGATTCCGCGGGGGAAAATCTCGTAGCTTAGTCTCAGTGATTTTGACGTCGGCGATTCCGCGGTGTACGTGGAGATTTTTCCGAAATCTTGAAATCCGACAGCAAATCGCCCACATGCCCGAATCTCCCTTTGGCAACACTCGACGGTCGAAATGCCAGCATTTCCACTTACTCTCCGCCTCGTTCTTTATAAGCTCGCAGTTCGGAATTGCGGCTATGCACGACACCTGCTGCATCTTACATTCCTCAGGGCTGTCGTCCTTCCCCATGGAGTCCCAGTTTTTCTTCACCAGCCTGGACCTCAGCTTAATACCGGGCCCGCAGCTGGAGCTACACGGCGACCACATGGACCACTCTGTGTAGTGATCGTTGACACATTTCTGCGGCGAACGTAGATCAAGGATCGATTAATCGATAGACAGATCGATGCGGATTGATTACATAGAGAAGCGAATCTCTCTCGGCGTTATTTCTCCCTCCTCTCTTCAGATTTCGCGGAATTTGCCGCGATCTTCCGATGGAATCTCTTTCTCTCTCGGATACGCGGCCGACTCAGAGACGAATCCATTGGATTCTTTCTCGTTTCGAGATTGTATCACAAACGCCGCTTCTCGCCGCTCCTCCGGCTTCGCTCCGGAAAAGACGGACGTTAAGAAACGGGGGGTAGCTCAGGGATGGGCGGAATGTGGAGAGAATGCGAGAGAGATCCGCTCCCGTCATTCGTCGCTCGTTTAATTCGTTAGTTTCCGTCGATCGTCCGGAAGTCACTCGCCGCGCCATGCTGCGCCGTGCAATGCCATGTAGGGACTTAATGACGCGTGATTGTAACATTCGTTGTGCGATAATTACGCGCGTAAAGTGTTAACGCTGAAGTGCACCGATTGCCGCGTGCTAATTAGCGGCTGTTGTTAAATTAGATTGCCACGTCGATCAGTTATACGTTCGTGATGTGACGTGACGTGACGCACGCGCGTCGAGAAAACCCAGCCGTGAATGATCGTTAATTTTGCGCCGGTTCGCTCATTTCCCGATTCCCGACAGCGGGCTGTCCGGGAAAGACAAAAAAAAACAGCGACGAAACAAGCGGTCGCGTTCGTATTCACAGATATAATGTAGCTACGTTCAACGATACGGGAAGAGCTTATTTCCGCGAGTCTCCTCAAATTCACATCTTAAGTACGGAGATTACGCGCTTATGAATTGATTACGAGCTCTTTTCTACTTCGTAGCTTCGTAACGTGTAAAATACTCGTCTTCTCCACAGATATATAAGTTTAAGCGACTTGAAAATAATCTCTTCGAATACACACGTGCACCAGGCATCACATATACCTTAATATTTATTATTATTATTAAGCGATAATCTATTCCCTGCTCAGGGATAAATTTCTTCAAGAGCCAACTGAAGCTTAACTGAAGTCGAGAATCTTCGCGTGAAAACGTTCAGGCATCAATACTTTTCGGGTTATGAGCATTTTCGTGAACGAAATTTCAGGAAAACAGGTGAATAATAAAATTACACTTCTTAGGTAATTCCAGGTGAAGCGTGAATAGAATTTTAACTGGAAGTCTAGTTGCAAAGATACGCGATGTTAAAAATGAGAAAGTCGCGAATTAACCTACCGATATACACCGTTAAAGTATTGCAGGATAGTTTTGATCCTGTATATAAACCGTAATACAATATTACGGCATATATGGAACCTTGTATGCACGGTTGTTAAAAAATGCAACATTCGGAATGAAAGAATAAATTCGTCGAAGGTTCGAGTGCATTTTTCGAGCGCGCTTTTTCAAAGCGCTCTGCCCGCTTACGATGCGCGCCTCGATAAGGTTTTACAGGAACATCCCCAAAGAAAGTAGACTTTATTTCGCGCAATCGAATGAAACGGGGCGCGTCCCGCTAGTGAGATAGATAGCCTTGGGACTTACGTGAGGGTGCCGGTGCCACGGATGGATCTACGAGAAATGATGCAGGTATCGCTTACTCGTGCGAAGCTGTCGCCGCTGGCTGGTGATCGAATACTTAGCGAAGCTGCTGGATTCGTAGCAATAATGAATATCGAGCGGATCCATGCGCGTCTCGTACGAGCGCGGTTTCGTTTCTTTTTTTTTTCCTTTTTTTAATAACAGCCATAACACCGTGGCTTGTCAGAACTTAAGCAGCCGAAACGTGATAAAATTCGGTGTTTTTCTTTTTTTTATGTTTACTGCGCCCGATAGTTTTTAAATTATAAAAGTTTGAGGTTTAGTCAATCGCCGGAGTTGCCGGGCAATGCAGAGTTCGAGCAGCGTCTAGTGAACTTTTCCGCTTTCCGTTTTCGCATCGTTTCAAATATTAAGTGAATTTTTTGTTTAACTTGATTTCGCGCTTTAGAAAAACTTGGCGCGCTTAGGTAAAAAAAATGAGCGAAAAGAACGTTGCACGACCGCGGCTTCACCAATTATTCACGCGAAAATTTCCGCTTCTTCGGCTTTTTTCTTTTTTTTTTTTTTTATCAACGTGGAAGAAATACGCGTCATCTTCCGATCTCGAGATGATTTTTCGAGCTACAATGAAATGTCAAATGACACGGAAAAAAGGACGAATACGCCACAGTGAAAACGCACGTAAGTTCGTTGTTGCAGACAGAACGAAAAAGAGAATTATTGTTGAATGCTACCGTGATTTTTCAATAGAAAAATCTATCATTTATTGTATTCCATTAAATTGGATCGTGTATATTTCAGAAACAAACGGTATCCGCTTGATATCTATTATGTAGCATACGTGAGAGTGGTTAGTCGTGCGTGAGCGAACTTTTCGACGAATCCGATCTGGTCAAACACCAAATTGGCAAAAACATATTTTACACTCGAGTAAAGCCCGAGAAATTAACTGTTATCCCTGAATTAAATGAAGCTTAGGAAACATATCCGACTCCATCAATTAAATAAAGCCGGGGATTCGCGCGCGAATCTAGTGGCGGTTCCCTCTTAATGGATCGATAGTCACAGAGTTATTTAACATTGCAAATTAAGGGATCCCGGCGTATTAAACCGCGAGCGAACGGAAGAATCTACCCCCCTTCCTAATTAATTCCAATCCGGTACTTCGTCCGCGTAAAAAATGTACACGATACAAAATTAAAGAGTTACAAACAAGCGCAAACAAAGTATGAATCGCGTATATATCGTTCCAGTCAGACGGATTTTATAAAAAATATCTCCAGCCTGAATAATTATTTAAAAAATGTTAACATCACGCGGGAAACGCTCGCAATTACTACAATGTCAGGTATGCAAAACTCCGCAGGAATTCGGTCTGCAAAAAACGGTAAAGAGAATCAAAAATATGGAATATCCATTTTTATTGAAAAAAAAAAAAGAAGAGAAAATGATTAAAAGCGAACACTCGTCGCGTCGTGTATAAATTTGTGAATTTAGCGCGAGCCCGCGTCGCTCTCGTACGGTGTCACGCATTTTACAACTGTTCCCTTTTTTATTTCATCCGGATTGATTTTCTAAGGCACGCGCGTCGGGCTCGTTAAATCGGCTTCTCGTCGGAAAATTCACTCCCGTCCGATCACATAATCCTGATACCTCGTACCTGCAGCCAATCCTCCATTACCTCTCCGTTCCCGTCCGCCCTCTCGCCATAGTCCTTGACATAGTCCTCCGAGTGATTCATATCTTCTCTTACCTCCTCCGAGTCCTCGTCCTCACACGGTTCGTTCTCGCACTCCATCGTCTGCTCCAGCCTCGTTCGGCCCGACGCCGTCATGCATTTCTTCCGGTGTTGCTTCTGTATGAAAATCCTGGACCGCGTCTTGCTGCCCTGGCCGCAGGTCGACGAGCACGTGGTCCACGAGCTCCATTCGGACAGTTCGCACTTCTCGTCGTTCAATACGCTATCGTGGTGGTCGGAAATGGCGCTGCGAATCGGAAACGTGATCTCATCCGTAAAATCTCTGTCGCGCGCTTCAGAACGTCTCCCGTGTCGAAAATAATTCGCCGAGGCAAATGTAAAAATCGAGATTTCGCGCATGAATATGAAATGTAAGACAATCATCGCGAACGACGCGACAAAATAACGGAGAGTGACGCGTCGGGAGAGCTTCGAAGGACACTTCAGACAGATCCTCGGCGAGGAGGGAGGTCCGCAGGAATTCCGCGGATCGTGGGAGTGAAAAAAAGCCCGTCGAAAAATACTTGGTCGTAGTTATCATACATAGTCGCGATTGCATCGTAATTATTATAACGGCGTCACATCGCGCTCTTACCAGTTAAGTAGGTTCGTGTTATAGCAAGTACTTCGGTCCGTCAGCCGTGTCTCACACTTATTCGCGATCGCTAACGCTTCGTTGCGATATTGACGTTGTCTCAGGAGAGCGCCTTTGCCGCAGGTAACCGTACACGGGCTCCATTCACCCCATTGTGTCACTCTGCACGCCTCTGTACATGTGAACCACCAATTACTCACGCTGGCGTCTCGCAACAATCGCAGTTGCGATCTAAATTTCGCACTGGCAGAGAAAATCGTTCCAAGTCGGAACGCGCGAAATTAAATTTGGAAACCAACGAAAAATCTAGACGGTGCAACTTATCGTGCAAAGCAGATCTGGCGAGTATCTAGGGCACAAATAAGACGAGAGTAAAATATAGCGGTAAGCAAGATGCGTCGAGTCGCTGCGTTTCGATGTGTTCTAAGTGTTTCTTTCACAAGCGAATTCTTACAAGCATCCAGTTTAAAAGAGCTCTTTTTAACAGAAGACTCGGGAAATAATTAGAGCGAGTCTGTGTGCGAGGTAGAAATTCACGACAGATGTTACTTTCATACACCGTTAGCCGTTTAATGTTGCAAGAGCTCGTCCGCGAATATCAACCGGGCGCTTTAAAACCACCGCTTCATTCGGCCGAACGTGAATTTTTTACACGGTCGGGGAGATTATTCGGGATGCAGTGTGTCACTTTTAAATTTTTGCAGCCTGAAAAAACAATACAATTCCTCGTTGCGCTCCGGCGTCCGTTTGCAATTCGCGTCATCATTCGATCCGCGATCGTCGCAAATCCCCGGCGGATTTCGCCTCGAAAAGCCGACGGTGCGAAACAAGGGAAAAGAAAAGAAAAGAACGAAATGATACTTGCTATTTCTCTTTTTTGATGCACCTGTATCGCCCGACGTTTCGTTGGAGTCTTCGCAATGCTTCTCGTACAACCTTTGCCGGTTCAGATAGAGCTTCGCGAGGGGTTTCATGTCCAGCCCCGTTGGATCGTAAAACGGTGATTCGGAGTTGTTTGGATAAGTCGACGTAATACGTCGGATCGCTTCCTGCGGCACTGTCGGCGAGTCGGGCGACTGGTAATCAAGAGAACGGCGATTAACAATGATGAAAATTGATTTGCTAATTAATGCACGGAGAAAATATTCCAGTGAAAATTACTACACAAGTTTGTAATGCTGGGATATGCCGGAATTATTAACGAAATTACTGTGCGCGTGTTGTTATTTTTAGTGACCTATATCATGTGTGTACACATCACCGTGATTAATATAACATTCACCAAGTAAGAGATGCCGCTGTCGGTACCAGCGTCGTAAGGGTACAAATTAAGCTCCTTGTGTTCGATCCACGAGCAATTAGACAGACAGAGCTCGAGGTTGGAAACGCCGACTATCCAATCCGGCGATGGATCTACGCAAGAATATTCATTCCTTCAGCTCGATTACGAAATACTTGATTTCTGCCTATCTATATTTAATCTCTCTAGAAGTTCCTTCGTTCCCTCCACGAAGAACCGTACGTAGCAAATAGGAAAGAAGCTTCTTTTGATTTCTATTATAATTTTTCCTCCCCTTATTTCGGTTATAATATCTCGCTACATAATCAGCCGTACCGATCATGGATACCAGAGACATCAAATGGTGCTTCTGGTCTACGCGGAACACCGCGAAAGTTCTGCCGGTGACGTTCGGATAACTGATCCCCCTCGCCTTTATGATAGTCCTGATGTGCTCGCTCTGCAAAGACGATCGTGTATGTTTCCGTGCCTGTTGTAAATTCAGCAAAGCCTCTCTCTCTCTCTCTCTCTCTCACCTGATTCTTCAGTTCGCCTTCTAGTTTTCTCGTGGAGCCGTGCTCGGCCACCTGTCGCAGCCCGACGCTGGCCATGCCGTTGTAATGCCAGAAACTGTAATTGCGCGTGTGCGACGCGCCGATCACGTCCGAAAATCGAATCAGCCAGCTCTTACTGGGGAAGTCCTGCGCGGAAAGGAAATAATGAATGGACGCGCTCGCGTTTCGTTAAACCATCCGACGTACTTTGGGATGAGTGTTCCGCGACCATAGCCCTTCGAAGGTGACTTCGTACTTCGCCTCTTGGCAGGCGCAGCAGTCCGGCAACACCGGGCCCTGATCGTCCGCTTCCGCCTTGGAGTCTTGGCACATGTTGAGAATTAAGTCGAAGTCGTCCATGTACCACGTGTCCGGTGTCTCCACCACCGTCGCTCTGTGTAGCCGAGGGGATGAAAAACGGACGACGAATGTGATCGTCCGGAAAAAAAAGAAAGCGAACCAGTCGATTCCGGCAAATCTCTACGGCGGCAAACTTAATTTTTACTATTGTGCAGATTCGATCGCGCAATGAGGAATTATCAGGTCGATCCAAGTCTTCTTCCATAAACATTCCTGAAATTCGTATATTCGACGGGGAGGGACTTCTAAATTGACGTTAATATATCCAATTTCCTTTGACAGCGAAAGAATAAATCGTCTCGATAAACATATTTTGCTGCAAATATCAAACTGTACTTTCCGTTGGTTTTATTGGAATATTGCCTTTACCGTATAAACAAATCTATCGTCGTAATAATACCAGAAACTTCGAGAGTAATAACCAATTTTATGAAGCTCGGAGATCAATTTACTGTGACACGGAACATTATCCGTACATTACGCCATAGATTTGCTAAAATAAGGAAATTTCTTATCGCAAAGACAAACGTTATTTTCTCTCCGGCCGGTCGTATTTACCTGTTATTATTATCTTGAAATATATTCCGTAAGAACACACGACGAGATATTCGATAACAAGTACCGCGAGATAAAACGAGCGACACGAATGATCATCTCTCTCTTTCTCTCTCTTGTTCCGCGCGTTGGGTTAATGTTAATAAGAGTGTCCCATCACCTGAGAAGTATACAACCGCTACCTTCGGAAGGACTGGTCCAGGTAACGGTTATCTGCTCCTTCAGCACCTTGGACGTCTCCACGACGGCGTTCGCGCAATTATCCGCGAATTTGGTCATCATGTCGTCCTGAAGATCGAAGACTCCGACGTCCGCGGTGTCATTCGCATTTTCGGCCTCGGCGGATATGAGGAATCTCGTGAACTTCCGATGCAGCATATCGGTACCGTCGATCTGCAGGGTTACTGAAATAATCGGCGATCTCTATTTGGTATGCCCGCATTGCAATGCGTTCTAAGGGGTGGCCGAGATGTCTCGCGCCGACGTAGCAGGATATTTAACGTGTGCGCTGTTGCTTAGTAATGATTTACGATAACGATGCAGACGGTGATCTCTTTGTTTAGGATAAAATACGACCGATACATTTGCTCTGTGATAATGTCATTCTTTTCTTTCTCCCTCTCTCTCTCTCTTTCTTTCTTTCTTTCTTATTGGGGAAAAGTTCATTGTTTCTCTCTACGTGCTCGCGGAAAAATGTCGGAACACGAAGAAATGGAATTACTCTCCGTCGTGAAAATGACCAGACACAAAAACGGAACCACTGATTGTTTAAAGGTAATGTCGTAAAGAACGAGCGGCGTAATGGCCGCAGAAGAGCGACGAGATATCACGACCACCCTATACATTGTTTCACGTCATGGCTATAACATCATAGAATTCCCGGCAACGTCCCATATATCGCCGTAATTAGACGGCGGGACGACGAGCTATTGCCGGGAATTGCTCGCGTCATAATTTCTGCGCGATATCGCAAGCGCGTCTATAAAAATTTTCCCAATAATCCGGCCGGGAAAAGAGAGGACAAAGGACATGGAGGAACTTCCGTTTTGTTCGCGCGAGCTCCGTGATTAATTGCGAGCGAGAACAAAATTCCGCGTCTCGCTTCAGGGGAGGAAAATTTAAAGGAAAACTTTCGCAGGAAGAACGGTCGAAAACAATCGGTCGCGTCGTTGGAGAACGCATTTCGCGTTGATTTCCCGACGCGTTGGAGTATGAATTTAGGTTTTGATCAATAGAATAGTGCTTATAACATGTCCCGAAACTACCAACCATTCTCTTTTCATAATCACACGATTTCAGTAGATCAAATACTCAATCCGAACGAAAGCAGAAGTAGGACTATTTATGCTGTATTTTTTTTCCGAAACGAACGGACAAATTGCACTCCGTATTGCATTTCGTGCTTCAATAAACCGAAGTACGGAAAATTGTCAGTCAAAACGTATGAAAGAATTACATTTTTATTTCATTAAATTTAAATTCTATCCTCGATCTTATCTTTAATAATGTGAAATATTAGAATTCTACTGCGTATAAAAGAAAAAAAAATATATATATATATATTACACAAATATAAACGTTAATTGAATTACATTAAATCTACCTCCTTAATCTTAAAGTTAATTCTTTTTCGTATTTTCACGAAAGTAGGTTAGACCGCTAGTTGCAACGAATCCTTTAATAACTCTTCTAACGAGCGGAAAAAAAGAACGGAAGAAGCTTATAGAGAAGTTTGGTCTCTTATTGGAGTTATTATTACCGAGAGGCAGTGAGAGTGTACATGTATAAATATCGGCTTATAGATTCTCCATGTATCGAAGGAATATTCGTGTTCTGGGAATAGAAATATATCAGCCCGGGTACCGACCCGCTATTTATAGCATGGATTAAACACGACACACCGTGAATCCGGCGCCGCGTGTTCAAGGGGATTCCTACTTCTTTCCCTATTACGAAATGTTCTTCAGCGTATGTAAGCACGCTACATTTTGTGCGTGACCTTATTTAAAGAACAACCTTAGATTTTATTAAGCTACTGTATATATATATATATAGTATATTTATATACTTGATGGTCTGGAACACTCTATATAATATATATAATGCAAGTATAGTTTTTATCGCGATATCTAGAGTAATAGAATTAAACCGAATCTATTCGCCGAAGACATGAAATAATCGAGGGATCACGGAATTGCTTAAATGATTAAATAAAAGATATTTAAGCGTATTGCGAAACGTTATAGTCGCAAGGTTATCGATTACTCTTTATACGGAAGTACGTAATACTCAGCTGTTTGGTGCCATTTATGGCTTCTGGTGTTTTACAGGTCTTCTTAAGCCGCGTTTCTTTACGTGCGTGAGATATAACACGTCGAATCTCGAATCGATTGAAAAGACGTTTTGAAAGTGAAGAATTTTTCAGCACTGCGCAAACTGCGAGTAAAAGACATGATGTTTCAATCCCCCCCCGTCACAAAGGACTCTATGTCACGATGGCATTAATCGCGAACGAGAAACATCGCGAAAATTCACGAATTTTTACTCGAAACGGGAAGCACGAGCTTCTCACAATTGCATTTTCTCCTTCCTTTTTATTTACACAGCACGAAAATACGGAAAATATGGAAAAATGTGGAATTTAGCTAACAGAGTTCAGTACGTCCCGCTGATTCAGAGTGTCAAGCGATTAGAACCGAAAGGCAGCCGTATTGATTTCCCTCCCATATCATCTGGTCCGTTTCACCGCCGGTTTTCATCGTACAGCGCCGTATTTATCGATGCGCGAATTGTTGCGCCAGTGACAATGACTCACGAGCGACGACGTCGGCGTCGTCGGCGGCTGCGTTCACCTCTCGCATGATCATTCCCATAACCCTGAATTAGAAGAATTAACGGCAAAAACGCAGTTAACTCAGACCTTCGTTGGGGTATCGCGTTTCCCACGCAACGAGCCCCCCGGACGCTCGAGACTGCCCGGGTATCTCCGTAGTTTCGCGTCGAGATCCGCGTCCGCCTGTTAAAGGTAAAAGAGAGAAAGAGAGAGAGAGAGAGAGAGTGTGCTCGAATATCTTCTTTGAGCGTCCGGATTCTCCCGTACGCCCGTATCGTCGAATAAGCCCGGAGGTTCCGCGAGAGAGAGAGAGAGAGAGAGAGAGAGCCGTTGGCCTTAATTAATTTTGTAAATTACATCGCGCGTGTTTCCGATCGCACGGACGTAAGCGCGCATCGAAATCGATAATTTCATCGTCGAATACACTTCCTACTTCGCTTCTCTCAAGCGCAAGATTGAGAGACGATCGATGCGGCCAACTAATCTCGGGCTCGCGACAGTTTCGGAGTTGGCCGAGTTTATCGAGCGATCGAAGCCGATACGTGAAAGCTCAGATTGGACTCGCGGCTCGTATTTTGCACTTTCGCGGTAAATGCGCGCGCGATCGCCGGTAGCTCTAGATACGTTCGACGAGAGAGACAGATAGAGAGAGAGTAGAATGTAAAGAGGGAGAGAGAGAGAGAGAGAGGGAGGACTCGACTTTTCATTCGCAACAAAGCGGATTACTTGCAAAGCCGAACAATAGGATTCATCTATCCGCGCGTAACGCTGCCTCTCTCACGTTGCAGCGGAGCGACAGGGATGAATTATTAATTAATCTCGAATAATAATAATGAACGGGCGCATATTCGCGCGAGCTTTATAATATATAATGTACATAAAGTCGCGTCGCACTTTCCTCTCTCTCTCTCTCTTTCTCTCTCTTAGCCTCTTTTTCTTTCTCCTCTCTGTCTGAATTCCTCGTGGTTGAAATTCCTCGGATAATCGCCAAGAGACGAAAGGACGATGTTAGGATAGTTTCCGCAAGTGTTTGGCGTTGAGTCCGACGGTGCGAGTCGTCCTTTCGTCGACGAAGAGTTTCAACGCCGGGAAACGACGGAACGAATTCGCGGTTCGAGCTCGCGGCTGCACGATTCGCAACACGGAGGGAAAAAGGGCCCTTTGTCATAGCCGCTCTCCCTTTTTTTTCCCTGAAATTTCACCCGCGGGAGTAGATCTGTACAAATCTACCCGTATGACCGATACCGCCGGTATTACCGTTGATGGGGAATTTCTCGAATTTCTGACGAATCATTTATCGCCCCATATAAAATACAATTTTCGAGATGGAAATTAAATTCATATTAAGCGGCGGTCGCAATTAATAAAGGTTTCAACTGTTCTCCTGTATTTTGACGCTCGCGTTATCCGCACATAATTCCGACCTCACCGTCGTTATTACATGTTATTACGTTTATATATATTTTCGTAATGGGCTTCATGTAATATGTAAATAAAAATATGAAGAGTCACCCTTCAAAAGGATGTCTTCATAGAGTCAATAATGTAGTCAGCCAAATGTTCAAATATTGGGCTTATCTCCGAGCCGAGCTCGGGTGTACGTAGCTTCTCAACACAAGCTTTATTTCACGCTGCAAACGCTTTGAAGCTCCGTACAGATCAATCATGTTCTTTCGTTAAACGCTTAAAAGCGTTAGCAGCGTGAAATGGACCCCAGCCTTAAAGTTCTACATCCGCGCCGGGAGTTCGGAGTTTGCGTACGGACGGGAAGCAGTGGAAAAAGAGCGTGGCGTGCGGCCGCGGCAAACACGTCCGATACGCTGCGGCATCCACTCGCTCGTCGAAGTTAACCAGAGCCCTTATTGCAAGCACACGCGTGCACGGCATGCGGCGACCGTGTCGCTCGCGATCTATTAAGCTTTTGACATTACGGTAATTACGGCGCATAAACACGGTAGTCACGGTAGGCAAATTGACTTAATCGAAACGAACGCTAATCGACACGTTAGCGCGCTGTATAATGTCAGCCATCAACCGAGCGGTTAACTAGTTCTAATTAACGAGCGAGCGTTGCACGCCAGGATGGTAGGCGGCTCCATCGCGAAAGAGAATGAAAATTTAGCCGATCGTGTTCGAAGTTAATTAGCGCGGCCGCAACCAGGTCTTCGGCGTCAGTTGCACTAGCAGCTTCCATTAACTCGCGAATGCGCTTCCAAGTTTACCTTCCTCGGATCAGAAACGATGGTCAGTACAATCGGCCGGCGAATCGCGACAATTTCATCGATCCCGGCGCGTCTCAATTTCAATGAACGTTATTACAACCCAGGCACTCGCATCATCCGGCTGATATATAATTACGAGTTTGCAACGTGTTCCCGTCCGTTGTTCGTTACCGTTCGGAAAATTGATAATCAGGAATCATCTGAAGTAACCGATACGGAAATACTGCCAGAATTGTCTCATGTGAGCAAATTTTATCTTCATATAAGATTATGTATTCTTGCTTACACGTGAGAATAAGAGTCTTGAATTTATATTAATTTTTTGCCTGCGTAAGTACTCAGTATTCGAGGTACTCGGGGTAATATCTGAAAGACAGCTACCCAGAATTCACTGCTCTCGGCTCGATAATCGCGAAAGAGAGAACAAACGTACTACCTGTTAACGTTATAATCAACATTGACCGATTTCGGCTCGTAGATACGCTATCAGTCCGGATTAATCGCGATTAGTGTCAACCTAATTTCACGAGGATCAACTCACGGAGGCGTCTTAATCGACTGTAAATCCCGACTATTAATTTTCCCCCATTCTCATCGCCTCGCAGGAAGAAGGTATCCGCCGCAGGCGCCCTGTGCGGAACAAAGAAGACGAGACTATTCACGGCTAACGTCTGCGTCTATTCACAGTTAATATATATGTTGATTAGCCGCTTTCGCCTATCTCTCACCACATTGTTTCGCGACCGTGGTGGTGGGGCGACGGCGCGATAATTTCCCCGAGCTCTCCAACGGCCGGTGGCCTCTTCTTCTTCGGGGAGGTTTAACCCCGGCGAGCCGCTGCCGGCCGTCCTGTGTCTCTTCCAGGCGCGATTTAATAGAATTTTATCGGACTGCCCACCGACCATTGAATCCGTTTGCGTTGACCCGCGACGCGACGCCTCGCACCTGGCGTGCCGCCAGCGTTACGTAAGGCATTAATTCAACGGGCCCGCGAGATTTGCATGCGTTAGTGGGCGCCGGAGGTGTCGCGCGAGGAGTTAAGTTTCGCGAAATGGTCAGGATGGTGGGAGGAAGAGAGAGAAAGAGCGAACTTTATTGCGCCGGATCACCGACCGGACAAATAGAGACGTTTCCGTAGGAGACACCGGAATTTATATCGGCGCGCAGAGCGCGGTTTATGATCGCTCACGAAACGGCTTTCACCATGCGGAAGTGACCTAAAATTCCGTCGCGTCTAAAAGCTGCGTTTCGAGAAATACACTCATGCCTGGATTCGCTCCTTCACCCCTCTCTCTGAGGAGTGCGAACTATCAGAAGTGTGATAAATTGAAGCAAAAAGTCGAGAAGAGCTCACGTCGAATGAAATTCAATTGGAGAGAATCCAAAGCTGGACCATCGAGAGACGTGAATATATTATTAATTTTCGCATTAATTTCAGATTTGTATTAATTTTAAATCATGCTCCACTATACATCCAGGCACGGGCCCGTATTGGCTCCTTGCTTTCATTTGTTTCACTGAATACCACCAAAGCCTTATACTGATTCAAAAAGTACAGTATTTTTTCGCCTTTACATTTACATCTCGTAAACTTACGTCACGTTCGAATATATACTTAGACAAATCAGAGGGAAGTGTTTGGAAGAAAGCCGTGGCGCAGGTGACGATAGCGGATTTTGACAGGAGGACGCGCGCGAATCGCGCATCCGTGAGGAGCGCTCGAAGCGTCTCGCGAATTGTTTCCGTCGACACGGCATAAATCCGACCGTAAAATTTTGATCGGGCGATTTGATTTCGCGAGGTTTCTCGCCGATGATACGGGGGAAGAAGAAGTAGTATCGTGCTCAGAGTATCTAAGGCCGTCGTCGAGGAGCGACTCGAGACTACGGTCATCGATCGGGGTAATGATACCGTGTCGCGCGAGTTAATGATACTCGATAAAGGACGCGAAAAAGCTGCGAGACGACGGCTATGCAGTCGAGCTTGAAAAATGTGCCGGGGACAAAGTAAGCAAATAAAACACGAATTTATGCGCAGGCGGCTATATATACACTAAGAACAGACGGTGCATTACACACCGAGTGTGCGCTACCGTGTTTCGATATAACACGCGAATAATAACGTCAGCGCGATTTCACTGTTATGCAACGTAATTCAATGTAATTGTAATAATGATGTCTTCAGATGTAGAATGCAAATAATAAACACCGGTGATTTCATCGTTATACCGTAATTAAGCGTAATTAAGCGTAATTATAATAATATATTTACTCGTTGGAAAATTGTGAGCTTTTAACGCACATGTACGCATATGTTTACCAATAGGAAAAACGGGTTAAATAAATTTCATTGGGCAATGTAAATAAAATTGTCAATTCGGAGGGACGAAATTGCACAAATATAAAGTAAGTTATATAAAATGGAAATTTTCGACGGGACGCGGGTGAAAAACGGGCCTGCGAATGAAAATGTTTCTAACCGGGCTTCGACGGGATCACATCCCGCTCGTTAGACGCGAAAGTTACAGAAGTTTGCATCCTCATTCTGTAAGGGTGGAGTCGCGAATTCATCGAAGAGTCCGCCGTGAGCGCCCGGACGACTGCGGTGACGAGTCGCCGAGTGCGAGCCGCGCAGCTTTCAGGGATGAAGGACGATTATTCAGCCGCAGCCGCGCAAAGTCGTCACAAAGCTAATCGGTCAAAGTTCAAGCGGCTTGGGTCGCGCGGCATTTATCCCGACTTTCGAGGTGAAACGACCTTTTTGATCCGCAAGCCCTGCTTCCCGAATCTCCGTCCGGCTTTTCAATCCAAAGCGCGGCTTCCGCCGAGCGCGGGGGCGTCGCGAAAAGCGGCTGTTCGCCGCGCCTGAAGATTCCACCGACGGTCTTCTTCGGTAATTGCCGCAATTACCGCCGAAGACGCGGAGAAATCAGCGCGCGTCGAATTTCAGAGGTGCCTGCGCGACCGTCAGAATGCCGGTAATTGATATGCCGACGACATATCCTCGTGCGAATTCCTCTTCCTGGGTCATCGTCGCGCGTGACGACCGGCGTCAATTAGCCGCGCGCACAACTCGATCGTTTTAATTAATCGGTCGTTTTCATACATCGGTCATTTTCATTTGTCTTCCGTTTGCCGTCAACTTTTCGCAGACTTCTCGCAGACTTATCGCAGAAAACCAACTTTTTTCACAGATCCAATACGAACTCTCGGGGGTGCACAAGTCCACAAGGGCGAAAAATCCCGCTTGTAATTTAACCAGATCCAACCTAGATCCCGACGGGGTGAGCACGCCAAGATATAATAAAATCCCCGAGTACGTTCGCGATAATGGAATCGCGGCACGGAATGGGAAGTTCAATTTTTCCATACACGAAAACACGGGAAATCGAGTTCGCGATATACGTTACGACTGTGTACTTACCGCTGTACCGTGTATTGGGCATGTAGGCGTAAACGAGTTCGCTCCTGTTATACAGCGTCATGAAAAAGTTATATCTGCCTTCGGCGTTGGAGCGTGGAGTGGTGACACCGTCTATAAACCGGCTGCATTTTGTCGAATTCGCACTCGTTACCGCCGCGAGCAGCAACAAAGCGCCCTGCACGACTCTGGCGCTACGCATCGCCTGCAAACGAGGAAAAACAGCATAACAATACACCCATATCCGATGAACCCGCAACAGTTTCAGCGTCGCTCGTGTGTGTCAACGACTGGACGTATCAGAGCTGGGAATATATTTTCATGTTTAATTCTCTGCTCCGATATTTCTGCTTTGTCGGATTCTCTTTTTGGTAAAAGGCGAGATACACATACCGCTATGAGCTGATAACGTTTGCCGGAATCGAAATACTAATTCGCATCGCACGAAAACTCGTCGCATTTCTAATCACATTGTCTTCGTTGAGTCGATCGGCCGCGATACGCGCATTCGCCAATATTTCTAGTCGCTGACTGACTGATTGAGAAGTAAAATTCATTGGGATCCCAATATTCAGCTTGTATTAAATTAACACCAAAATTCGAGCGGACACTTCGGCACATATGAAATGTGTAATACTTAACATTCAGTCGTTCGCCGTGTGTGTTTGTCAAATGCAATTCATTGTAAACCGTACGAAGCTCAGTGAGTCACGACGACATCGTAATGCCGTTCACCAATGACAGTCTCGGCATTCAATGGTGTCAAATATTCGCTCCCTGCGTCTTTCCATCGCCGATCCGGTATGGCGGTTCGTTATACGTGACATCGTCAAATTAGATCTGTCGTATTTCTGTGAAGCGTCTCATGTCTCGCGCTCGTCGCTCGAATCCGTCGAATATTGAGCAGTTCGACGAGAGTCGTGCGCCACTCTACCGGTGCTTTTTACAATCGTCGTGATTGCGCCATTCGTGTATTGAATGCCGCCAAGCTCGGATTACAGCGTACAAGTCGATTACAGCGTAAAAGAAAGTCGACGACTCGGAGTCAGCGTGGGATCAGCAATTGAGAGGGGATGGGTAAAATTAAAATGGAAATCACTTTTGGGAAGGGAGAAGAGCGGAGGGTAGGCGACGAGGGTGGTTGATTCCCGATCCTTCTCACGTCTCAAAAGCCCGTCGCATCCCCTACGTTCTCCGTTTATTTCCCTATTATGCGCTTTAATTAAAATTTCAACGAAACGAATCATTTCGCACCGGCGCGTCGACGCGCTTCAACATTTCACAGTCTAATCCGCGAACTCGGCTCGCGGCCCTGTCAAGATGATTGAAGGGACACGACAGGTCGCGATTTCTCGAGTAGCCATTCCGTCCGCTCACGTATCGGGATAAACATCGGCTGAAATTCACATAACGCGTAAAATCAACTTGTCAGATTGGACTCGGTGAAAATGAGCCTCTTGAATTTCGCGCGTTCGAAGAACGAGCCCGTCTCTGTCCGAGGAGAGTGAAGTTTCCAACGGCGACGACGATGATTCGCGGCCACGAGGGAGACGGGCGAATGCACGTGAGCACCGCGGACTAGAGCGATGCCAACACGTGAGACAATCGGCCACGGTGGCCACGTGCTTGCTGCTACAACGCGCTGCTTAAAATGCGCGCACTGCCGACTGAGTCATCATTCGCCGATCTTGGCAGGATCGCGGCCGAACGGGGGTACGTAAGGTTGTTCGCACTTTCCCCGGTTCATTGAACGATCATACATTCGAGACACACCGGTGACGAAAATGACACACCGCGTAAGTGGACTTCAAAGAAGTACATGCTTAGCTTAAGCCCTCGATATATACTATTGCAGTGTTAAATTCGAGAATTTATTCTGTGTAAGAAATAAACGGATTTTCTCCTTGCTCTTTGGAGGACCTCTAAGGAAGAGCAAGAGTCACAAGATGTTAGTCCTTACGAAATGGTTACGTAAAAAATATGTATAAGCGAAAACATGTAATCTCGCATAAAGAAACCCAGGAATTAAAATTGGATAGAATAGGCTCTGATAATAATACATCGATAATTATATTGCTCAATTAGAACTCGGAATATCGATTTTTAATTAGCTATTCTAATTATACGCCTCAAATGAAGTGTATCATATTGTACCGTATAATAGTGTTATATTAACATATTCAATTTCACTAAACAGTCAGAATATTGATAATGAAAATGAAATATTTATACAATGAATTGTGGCGGTTAATTGTTAGTAATTACTTAATGTCCCTATAAATTATACACGTATCCACCATGTACACATACGACTATTCTCAAACATCGCTAAGTTTCACAATCATGACGGTAAAAAGGCTGATGGCAAAGCAACACTGCAAGGTGGCGCCTTTTCAATGTGTGACCGTCACAAACTCGCCAACTCGTGTCGCGAGCCGAACGTGTGCAAGACGAGGAGAACACGATACGCTCGTGTGACACGTCGATCCATGAGCATCACTGGCCTCTAATAAGCTGGTTAACCATAAATCCCAAGTGCCTAAATATATTGCTCCAAGCCGGTGTATATAGGGCATGGCATTTCACTCTGCCTGGCACTGTGCCATGTTCGTTGTACCCACGGAGCGCACGGTACACCAACAGGAACTCAAACAATATCTATCAAGAGACTCGACCGCGACCACGGTTTTCCTCGTTTTACAGCGCTTACATAGCCGAAATTAAATTATTACATGTCCCCGATTCGTTCGAAAGAAACTTGATTTGATTTGTGCAGACCTGCAAACTCCGGAAATTTGATGGAGAAAGAAGAAGAAGAAGAAGAAGAGAGAGAGAGAGAGAAAGAGAGAGAGAGAGAGAGACATAAAATAGAAGATAATCGAAATCTCTGGATAAAAGACAACAATGTACAATTATAATATTTTAATATTTTTTTGACGGTCATTAAATACTACATCTATCATTTCGCGTACCGTGCTTCGTTGATCTGCTCGATAGTAACGTAATGTATCATATTTAGTCAAATTACAATCTCGGAACAAAGGGCGCTAGTTGGACAAGAAATAACACATTTATCAAAATCTGCATTTATTTACGGTACCGTTAGTTATACCATGTTTAATTATAAGCCTTTGTAAAATTAATACCTGTGTGAAGTTCAACAAATTAATTTCATAATTAAAAAATTATTGTGCACCGTTCTTTCCACCCTCGACTCGCTTGACAATTTCAATTATGCCGCTTAATTTAATTCTATGAAGTTATAGACTGTTAATGCCTCTATATATATTATACACAAAGGCCGCGCGCATATAAACCTGCAATTCAAATCGAATGCGTTTCGTAGCTCAGACGGATATATAATCAATGGACGGAAATAATCAATAGTTGAAAATAAATAATCAATTTAGGCTCTACGCTCTGTCCATTTATGTTGTCGTCACTTCACAACAACCAACAAAATCGACCTACGAGCGGTAAATTGTAATCGCGATGTCTTTTTTATCTCGACGTTCGATAATTCCGAAATTTTCACGTATATTCTCACATGTATTATGCATGCAAACTTAAAAGCTGAAAATAATAATTCTATCTTCGAGATTTTATTTTTGAGCTTCATTCTATTTTCGAGGTGTTTGATTTGAATATCTTTTCTCGTTTCTCGTTCTCCTTCTCTACTCCCTTTCTTCAATCTCTCTCTCTCTCTCTCTCTCCCTCTCCCTCTCCCATTATTTCATATATTTTATTTGCGCTTTCACATGTGATACATGCAGGTCTAGCCAAATTTTATAAAGCACTATGCGCCCGGCCTCCAATCGGGATCAAAAGCGGTGGCTGAGTTATCGAGGTAAATGAGGTTGCCGGATGAATAAACGGCGGCCGATCGGTACGAGAGGGTAAGAGAGACGACGGCTGTGAGGGCAGGAGGACGGGACTCACGGGGAGACTCGCATCGAGGAAAGTGTAACTTCGAACGACGGATTGCCGGCGACCGCAATATGTCGGTTTGGAACTTTGAAAGAAAAACGAGGAGCACGGTGAATGGCGAGGACCTTCCCTTGGCGATATTACGAGGATCGAAGCCACGCAACGGAAGGAGCGCTCGCGAAAGGGGATGCCGTGCATTTATGCTTTCGTCAAATAGATCATTTAATCCTTAACGGCGTGCTGTAATCCGTAATTTCTGCCGGCCAATATGCACTCATATTTTACCGTCTCCCTATTCTCTTCGTTTAGTCTCCCCTTTCGTCCTTCTTTTCCCTCCCTCTCTCTTCCTCTTCTTTTACTTCCGTAAATGTTTGCGTCGCGTAAAATCGCAACCCCGGAGATTATATATTCGTGTAGAACACGTCCTGCTCCACCAAATGCTTCCCGAAGGAAATTGCGTCCCGGTGACGTTACGACGCGACAGAATATTTTTTCCCATAATGCATGCTCACCGTACACGACGGTACCGTAGAGTTTCAGGACGCGAGTTAATCCTACGAGTTAATCCCACAGATTTCTCCCGGCAAAAAGTTGATAACAAATACACGGTTGTCACGCGACTCGCGAGAAAGCATGGGAGGCTGATCTTTTTATTTTTCTCGCCGATCGATCTTACATGTGCGTTAAGACGCAAATTGATTCGACGTAATCTCGAAGAAATCTTACGTCTGCCGCGGCGTTTTAGAGTCTTAAATACAGAATTAACGTGGAATGCACACTACAAAAATATTTTCCTCGACGCCCGTCTCGACGAGAATCGCTGTTCGTTTTTTCTTTTTCGCACGAAGGAGAACGAAAGCTGCTCTTCGAACGGCGATAAAAGCTGACGCTTTTCTGCCAATCTGCGTCACCGGTATTGAGTAAAGGCCCGTATAAAAGAAAAAATCAGCATGCCCAGCTATTCGGGAAGCGTTTACCGTCCGAATGAAGCATTGATTTTACACTCGAAATAGCTCTCCCGGATAGTAAATCCCGTCATCGGCGTTATTTCGGAGAGTCAAAACGTGCTGTCCATCGCGTATGAACGAGCATTCGATGTGCGATTTAACGTACAGCCGTGGCGTTAAACTGAATAAACATGCTAATTTTGGAGGAGATCACGAAAGGAGCTGCGCTCGATCGCACCGTTCACGTTGCGATTCATTAATAGCCGTAAATGTATAATGATAGAATAAGAAGCAACGTGGCGGCCGTTCAAACTGTTGCTTCATTGAT